GATGCTGGGGTGGGGTGGGGGGGTGGTGGTGGAAGGGGAGAGTTGCTGGGGAGTGGGCAGGCTGGACAGGCTCCCATTAATAACAAGATTTACAAAGTTACTTTGATGGCCTTAGATTCCATATAAGCTATAGCTGGAGTCAGGGGCTTTCCAGATCATATTTCATTCCCCTGAGAATAGAACTCATCAAAACAGCAGTACCAATTCCTCGGCCTCCTTCCAGTAACTACTGCTCACCTGGAACAAAGGAAGTTGGCTGCACTGTCAGCCAAGAGAGACCAGCAAGATAAACACCCCATTACATACAACACAATGTGCCCAGACCTTCAGCAACAGCCCGGGACTGAGCTCTGAGCAATGGATGCTTCCATCTCCATAATTCTCCCTCCTGCTTTACTTTCCTCCACTAATTCCCACTGCTGTTTGCATATATTGCCCTACCTAGTAATACCTCTCACATCTTGCCTTTACCTGGTGCCTGTGCCAGGGATGGGAGGCCAACACTTGGCAACCTCTCTGCAGCATGCATCTCTGTTAAGCATCTAACATACACTCCCCACTCACTTTATGCGGCTGTGGGTGAGACTTAGGTTCTGTTGATTAGATGCACCAGTGTGCAGTTTGGACAGAGGAAATCAGACAGGCTTGTCTTTCTGCCACTCAGCTATTCTGGGGCAGATGTAACAGCTCTCCCCAGGGTGGGCGTGTTCTAGAAATCTTTCTAGGAGCATTTCTTTCATTCTCCAATGCTATGGTAAGCACCTAGTTCCTCCCAGTCAGCTTTTAGGTATGTTCAAATGGTTTTCTGCAGCTGAACCTTGTCTAGTAGAGTAACCTCTGTGTAGCTGTTATGTGCTTTCCAGGTGTGAAATCACTTGGCTTTCACTGACTTTCATATGGAAACCTTTCCCCTGAGGATGGCATTGGAACGAGGCAGGGCATTCTGATGGTTGTGATGGCTACCGCAGAGCCTTCAACATCATCCTTTCTGAGATGCATCAATGGATTAGCCCTCATTTGGGATGTTTTCAAGCCCAGTGGCCACACATTAGGTAGGGTCTGAGCCCCAGAGTCCGGCATGAACGCTCTCTGAGTGTGTCCAAGGTGCATAACTTTGGAAGTGGTGCTGGGGAGAAACCGAAGGGAAGTAGCCTGCAAAGGTCTCTACTCCCAGGAGGTCAGCATTCATTTTCAAAGTGATAATTCAAACAATCCATTTCAGAGTCACCCCTATCAAGTAGTGGCATAGCTGACCCCATTCCTGTCGGAGATTTTTAAACTCCAAACACACATTAAGGTTAAGGAGGTACATTTTTACTTCTGGGGAATGACTTGATTATTACTTGCCCTTTAGAATCAAAAGCTGATTCTCATCCACATGCAGGGGTTAATCACCTGGCTGCTGCAGGAAAAATCACTTGGCTCTTTATTCTGCTGGAGAATTCACGTTTGGGTATTTTTTCTTCCTCACGGCTTCATTATTTTCTATTTGACTTTCATTTGGAAAATAGGTTTTAAAAATACTTAGAAAAAAAAATAAAAATACTTAGGAAAAGAAGTACTTCTGCTTTTTTAAATTTTAGGTTGGCATTATCTTTTCTACCCACTGTTACCTCTAGGAGGAATTAATTTCAATGTCAAAATTAGTGTCATGATATGGTCTGGCCTTTTAGGGGTGATCAGATTTGGATATCTTTCTAAAAGCACACATTCTTCGAAAGGGGGTGTCTGCTCGTCCTAGAAAATCGCTACCTAAGTGAGCCACGCTCACTGCCAGGACCATGTGGTGTCCCTTAGCTCTTAAGATTACCAAGGGGTTGAGAATTGTTGTTACAAAGCACAAGGATTCCCAAACCCCTTGGAGTCTCTCTTCTGCAGGTCATAACACCTCTTACTTGATGGAAAAATTCTGAAACAGTCCAAGCTGCCATCAACCCTGGGGCTAAGATTTACCTCTGTCACCTGTGTTTGCTCGCTTATTTATTCATTCCCTTACTTTTTACATGCAGGCTTTTCCTTTGGGACTCTGAAACAGTCAACTTCTGAAAAAATCGCAATTAAATCAACCTTGCAGTGCTTATTGCTTCTATCATGTCAAGGAGCAGTTTCCCCTGGTGTTCTCTCATCTGGCAGCAATGCTTGTCTATCTTGGCCTGGCTTCAGGATCCCCAGACCCAGTAGGAAGAATGACATGTTTCCAACTGAATGACCTGGTCACTGCTGGGCTCATGGATTCTTTTGCCAGGAGTACCTTGGCATTTTTGGAAAACGAAGAGCTCATAAAAGGATGCATTGTTTAAAACGATGACTCTTTTTTTTCTAATTTATCTGCTGATCCATTTGTTGCTCATGCCAGAATTCTTGTGAGACCTAACATCTAGCCTCTTCTAGAGATCAGAAAAATAGGATGTATATTATGCTATGAAGATAGATGTCTAGTGGGGTGGGTATATGTGGGAGCTGAACTGCATGGTGGTTAAGGGGATAAGCATTGGAGTTGGGTTGACAAATAATGTAACTGATCTATGCCTCAGTTTCCTCATTTATACAACAGGCATAATGAAACTACCTATTTGACTGGTGACTGTGCAAATTCAATTAGATAATATATACCAAAAAACTGAGTAGGGTCTGTGCAGTAGGTAAATGAGAGCTACTTTTCATCTGGTTAGAATAAAAGGCGCAGGAGGAAATGGAAGAAGTAACTGCATTCTTAAAATCAGCAGTCTAAATTCTTAAAATTGTTCCCTAGCTGATCATTTTCTCTTAAGGAAATTTACATTTGCTTGTGTTTTTGAGATTACATGTACTTCACAAAGAAATAAATATTAAAAAACAAATCATCAGAATGAAATGGGCCTCCCCTAAAGTAATTTGCAACTGGAACGTTTATACATGTTTGTAAGGGGTGAGCAACCTCCTTTTAAAGCTCATCTCTCTCCTTTTATTGTTCTAGGTAATTTATTAGCATGTCATTCCAAAAGTATGAAGACAGTATAATAAGTCACAGTTTTTGAAAAAATTCTGCAAAGTTCTCTTTTAGGACAAATAAGGAAACCTCTGGTCTGTTTCCTCAAACTGTAAAAGTGTTGACCCTGTACTTCTACTATATCTGTTTAAGAAAAAAGAGAGGGAGGGGCTAAAATTTATCTACTAATGGGCCCAGTTTTTGTGTTGTAACTCATATTACTATCATAAAATATTGTTTATGAATTCCCTTAAATCATGCTATTGGAAGGGAGGGATATGTTTCTGTAACTAAGAAAAGTGTGGTTTGGGGCTGACTTGTGGGAAACTTGCTATGTTTTACTTACCTAATACAACCCCACAGAATAGTGTGGCTTATTAATGAAAGCCTGGAAGTTATACATTTGTATCATAATTTCTCTGGGGTAACTTTTTTTTTGCATAAGAGATAGCATAGACTAGAATAGCACTGGTTAAGCAATTATGTGGCATGTGACTGTATATAAAATGTGTCATTCCCTGGGTGTTAGGCTTTGGTTCTATAACTAAATATCTCCATACCTCAATAACACATGGCTTATATAAATCCTCCACCCTTTTCCATTTGAAGGTTTTGTGATTTTATCATTCTAATTTGTCATTATAAATGTTCTTTGATAATAAAATGTTAATTAATCTTACACAAGCACACACATACCTATACCTATGCATGCTACACACATTCATATAATAAAAAAAAAAAAAAACTGTAAAAGTGTTTGTGCCTAGACTCTCACAAGAATCCTATTAATACCAATCTTGAAATAAATTAAGAATCCTGTCATACCTCAGGTGGCAGAGCAGAAGAAAAGGTTTTCAAACCAAAAAGTATCCAGGCAGAATCTTTGTTATTAGTAGGAAGAGATTTAGCAGAAACCTTATATGCCTGATTTTTAACCACAGGCTGATCATCAAACTGATGACTGAGTTTTGTATAAGAAAAATTTTTATGAGGAGAAAACTTACCATGGACTAATTTAACCTGGAGGGAAAAAGACCTGTCCAGAGCATCTGGAATTTTATAAAACTAAACGATCAAACTATTTTACATGAGAAAGGCAGTGACTGATCCTGAGGGGGAGGGAAAATCTTCCCTTTAAATCAGCACCATCCATGATGTAAAATATATATAAATTTCTAAAAATTTGCACCGTCTATTTAAGAAATCAAGCATCATTTTCAAATGACAAATTCTTCAGTGACAACGAAAGTTGAACCAGACATACTGAAATTACAGCTTGTGTTACAGAAAATGTTTTCTCTGTAATTAGGGTAATGTTTTAGGAGCGTGGGAAAGAGACATGTTTCATATAACCTAAGAGTATATTTGAAATTCTGGGGCAGAAGGAAGTGCCCTGTCATGGAATGGTTCGCCTGGGCTCCTAGGTGCAGCTCCACGTGACAGGATGTAAACAAGGTGATGGGAGGCACCAAGTTCCAATTCATCACCTGGAGAAGTTGGCCAGGACTAGAAGGGTTCCTGCAGCCTGGAGCTCAGTGCACACTGCGTGCGCTTTATCATATGAAACCACCAAATCCCTCTGTTGGGCATCACATTGTTTCCATGGCATATTGAGGAGTTATGAAATCAGGAACAAATCCAACTTCTCAGCACTGCTATGGATTCAAACAAGCCTGTGTTCAAATGAATGCTAACCATGGCCAGGGTTCCTACCGAGCTTCTAAGGGCAGAGGGAAAGAGAGTAAACACATACAGAACCTCACTGAGTTCAAGGTCAGCAACGCACTATCCATAAAATGGTTGAATTGCGAAATTGAGACCCTTTTACCAATAATTTGTTACCCTGACACATTCCAGGTAATCTCACTCTGCAAAAACAGGTGGGTAATAAAGAATAATAAAACAAAACATTTTAGTGCCTTTTTTTAATTCTACAAACATACGGTGAACTGAAACCTTGTGAGATGTCCTATCGTCTTTCCTTTTGGGGGAAAGCCAAGCTGGGGTTCACCTCAGCCCACAGGAGACTTACATCATATCCGCTGTTACGGATTCCTCGGCGGGGTCGCTCCCGAGTCACCAGAAGGTCCATCTCCGTTTCTCCCGGACTCGGGCTATTCAGACTCTGCCGGCTTCGGTAGACGGAGTTCTTCATCTGTTGCCTGAAGAAAATTCAACCACTGTTATGATGCAGCAAATGCCCTGACAGATGGAATTCTCCACTGATCCAAACTACAGGCAACCAATGAGGGTTTGGATTTGCCTCGCAAATCTCAGAATTGATGGTATTTGTTACTGGGCCATGAGGGGCATAGAAAGAGTGAAATAAAGATTTTTTTTTTTCCAGATGCTGTAACCTTTTGGCTGAATTGTAAATGTTCTTTCATATGGAAACTAGGTAACAATAATCAATTGCAACGCTGCAATCTCATCTAAAATTCTGCTGATGGCAAGGCCAGGGGGCTCTCCCTTGACCCTTGAGGACAGCTAGCTGGAGAACAAACTTGCTTTTGCAGACTTTGTTGACTCAGCAGCCTCCTGTTCCTTTTAATCTTTCTGATTTTACATGCAGGTTTCCATGATGTATTAATAAACCCTGTGGCTAATAAGCTGCTTAATACTGCGATGCTGATCAACTTTTCTGTTCTACCTTCACCATAGTGGATCCCCTGCTGGGTTAAGGAGCCACAAACTGGCAGGCAACTTGGGGCTCATGTGTACATTCACCCGTCCATCCATGCATGCATCCAATATTTACTCAGTGCCTACTATGTAATAGGCCTTGTGGAGGAAGATAAAGACCTACAGTGAGCATGGCAGATGTGGCCCTGCTCTTTTGGGGCTTGCTTTTGAATGAAGGAGAAAGGCAATTCACATGATAATTTCAAGGAATGACAACCACTATTAAGATGTGACAGGGTGACTAGGATGGGCGACACCTTTATAAGATGGTCTAGGAACGCGATGTTTTGGCCAAGACATACACAGATCCAGCCAGCCAAAGTGGACATAGCACACACTTCAGGCCCAGGGAGAGGCACAGCTAGAGGCTCCACTCACCACCCTCTAGGAAATGCCTGCATTTGTCCCCACTGTCCTGTTCCATTTGCCATTAGAACCATTTTTGAGGAGTGGGAAGAAACAGCAGCATAGCAAAGGTCATGGCTGTGATTTTCTCCTTCCACAAGAGGCAACTTTTATATATGGGGACAGGTGATGTCCACGTGCTCTAGCAACGTGACAAAGTAAGTAACGTGTACTTCAAAGAACTCCCCAATGCCACCTATTTTGTCTCAATTCTAAGATTTTACTCGCTCATGAAGGTGAAGAGGTTATAACATCTATTCCCAGTGACTATGCGGGAAGCCAGACACCTGGTGGGTATGCATGCTTTTCACCATCCATACTGGCTAATGATAGCATGACAGTCACACATTGTTAGTCCAGATCAGGCATGAGAAATCCCAAGGCAAAACGTTACCCCTGCAATTAGCCTCAGGAATAAAACAGACACGATTAGACCTTCCCTCAACACAAGGAGCTTACACCTGTTTAGAGAACATCTCTGGCCTCTGCTTGCATGGTCCTTACGACAACCTCTTTTTGGTAAATGCTCTACCTTCCTTCATTCCTTCCTTCAGGGATAGGCATGTGACCCCGGCTGCACAATCACCATACTGCTTGTTCCTGGGGACAGTGATTGATCACAGAGTGGGCTCATCAGATGAAGACTCAGTGCTTTTGCAAGAACAAACAGAAAAGAGGCATTCTCTTGGCACTGAGGCTTCTAAGAATATAGGATATAAGCCTAGAGTTGTTGGCAGCCAGTTTGTCACCATGAGGTGAAAGCCAGCCTGAAAAGGAGCCAGCAAAGAGTGAAGGGAGAGCAAGATAAATATGGGAGACACTGAATGACTTCTTGGGTTTATGCATGCCTGAAGCCTTGCCCTTCCAAATAATGTCCAATGATAAAGTCTCTTCATTTAACCAGTTTGTGCTGAATTTCCATCATTTGCAACGAAAAGGATCCAGACTAATTAATATAGGAATTTAAACCTAATATTATCAACCATGCCCTATAGTTATCTGTAATTAGAGACTTCCTTTAGGAATGGAGCATAAACTTGTGACACAGAATCTATTCTGAGTGATTCACACTTTAAGGCAGACCCCAAAGAATTTTTATCCTTGACCTAATTACAAATAATTTTTTTTTTTTTGAAAAAGCAGACTTTACCACTGTCCTGAGATTGCCAATTAGCCCATTTAGAAAAGATTTACTAATAAGGGTGGTGAGGAGTAAATACTAGGATTAGCAATTGACGTTAAAGTAGGCTATTTTGGAGTATTAGAAATACAATAGTGAGATCATGTAGCCCTTTTAAGAACCATGACTGCAGGTGAGAGCTTAGGCACAGGACTGCACTCCCAGCTACTTTTTCTTCAAAGACAAAGTTCTATTATAATACACAGCTAAAAGGTCACTGTTTTACATGGATTTCAATCGACCAGACCACCAATGTGTGCCGGTATGTGGGCAACTGGAAATAAATTGGGCTCTCGGGTAGAGAAATTACTCATTTGAATCAAATAAGAGTTCCATTAGGTGTGTTCATTTCCTATTAGTACTTTGCTACATGCTTTAAAAGTTAATAATTTTCGAAACTTGCAAACCAGAGAGGTAGGGTTTTTATCTCTGAAAGGATTATTGGCTTGATCATGATGAATTTTACTTGTATTTTTAGGGACTTTTAAATCCCACTATAGTTTAAGAAAGTAGTGTTCTGTGAAAACCTAGGGCTCCACAGAGATGAACTGGAGCCACCGAGGAGAAGGCCCTACTTCCAGCACTCTGTCTGCATTCGTCATGCTGTAGGCTGGGTTACCCCAGAAGTAGACTGCGATGATTTGAGTGCAAGTGGTTTAGATGGAAGTGGATTCCAGGAACCACTAGTTGGGAAGTGGGAAATGAGAGAGGGAAGGGTGAGTACGATAAAGAGCAGATTAATGCTTGAGGCGAGTAGGGATCAAACTCACTGGAGAAATAAGGGCGATGTTTCATTTCATTCAAGTAATGGCGAGATCAACAAATTCAGGCGATGACTACCATTGTAAAGATAGCTTGTTACACTCATGGATGCCAAGAGGAAGGGGCACACTGTGCCATGGGGCCACACAGGGAAGCACCAGAGGAGTGAGGGCAAAGGTTTGGCAAGAACCTTATTTGTGGTTTCCAAGGGAAAGAATAGGCAAGATAGGGTGAGCAGGTGAAGGACTGGCTCATTTGAGTAATTTTGGCAGAATCTGGAGCATAGGGGTTATCCCTAGTTGTCTGGCACCTGGCTGGAGTGATTAGGGAAGGGGAGTGAGGGTCCAGAGCCAGAGTGCCCTGTATAAAGGAGGTGGTTGGAGGTGGCTTCTGACTTACTGGTTTGCATATATATGAAAGCCACACTTGCAGGTGAGATTCTATTTCTAGAAATTGGAATAGTAGCCAGACAAGGGAAAGGCAGGACCCAGATGTTAAATCATCACATACAGAAGCTAGAACAGGTTTATGATGACAGTGTAGCTTAAAACACAGAGCTGTCCTGTTGGAAGCATTTATCCATCAGTTCCCATATGTCGGTGACTGAGGCTGCTCTAGGGAGTGTCAGCTACCTGACACTTCTGGCTGAGGACAGCTGAGAAATGGTCCCAAGGTGAGCCAGAGATGCCGGTGGTAAGGAGGTGGTGGGGGGCCTGCAGGAGTGTGGGAGGCAAGGGCTCTACCAGGAGCACTCTGACAACATTTGCCCCCATTCTATCTGTACTTGATGTCTCTGGGTAAGAATTTAATAATTCAAGAATGGGGCTGTGCTTCTGACTTTAAAGAAAAAAAATTGTGAAAACACTTTTAAAAGATTTGGGGATGACTCAACATTTGGAATCAAACTTTGTCTTTGATTTAATTTAGGTCTCAGGGTAAAATTCTGGTAACTGACACTATCTCTGGACTAGAGAATGATTCTCTTACCCTGTCCTGCAGTATACAGGTCCTTGAGAACAGAACTTCTGGAGAACGAAACTGAACAGCAATCAACAGGTAACCCCAACCTGTGATAATATTACACACAGCAGCCTCTGCAGTAGGCAGTAGATCGTGACAAGGATAATCTCAGAGTGTACTTAGATTGTCACTCCTTTGTATATGTTAATTTCCCTCCCCCTTGCTCATCTCTTGCTGACCCATCTTTATTCCTACTCCCAACTCACTCAATATGCAGCAGCAATTCATGATTTACCCTTAACTGGTTAAAAAAAAAAAAATTAACATTGGTGTTGGTTCTTAGGAGATATTGCATCATGTCTTCAACAGAATTTACTGAGGATTAACTACATACCCCCCAGCATCCACAGGCCATCCGAATCAAGCCTGAATTTTGCTGGACAAAAATTTTCTGTAGAAAAAATTTTGATCCTCCTCTTTATAAAAAGCCTTAGCTGAAATTTTTATTTATTTCTCAAATAACATCAAAGTTAAGTTCCTTTTATTTGTGCGTGATCTTTGATTCACTTTCTGAATGTCAGCAGGACATTCAGAAAAAATACATAAAAGACCACAGAAGAAAAAAGTCCTGAAGTGCAAAGTAAAAGTTAAAGAAGCCCCCAGCTGCCCCATAAAACCCCTATCTTTTCTTCTACCATTACCAACATGGTGACACATGCATTGTGACTGCTGTCATGGTGGGATTTGAGATTAATAGTTTGTCATACCCACCAAGCCTAATTAGCAGCATGGTAAATTAACCCCTGGTTGAGAATTCTGTCTCTTCCTTATTGAACATAAAATTATGTCAATTCCATTCATAAAATTTGGCCCCACCTCTCAGCTTGATTTTGTGGCCTCCATCCAAGCCTGTCACACAGTCATTTTTCCTTTTCATAATACACACTCAGCCAGAACTGTCCTGTCCTGCCCAGTCTATGGTGCATCTGCCAAGGCTACGGGATGGGACAGCATTAACATGATCAAAGCAAGGGGCTGTCGCCAAGGAGAATGTCTATTTGACAGACAAGGTGTCCAACCATAAAAGTGCTTCAGAGCTGACGAGGGAAAGCAGAAAGGAGAGTGTGTTCAGCTGCGGTAGCTTCCACCCCTTTACCCAGTAGGTAAGGTCACCCGCCTCCCAGTTAGCAACAGAGCATGGAGGGATGTCAATTCAAAGCACCAGGTCTAACCCTCCCTCACTAGGCTATAGCCCCCTCTAAGATCATTACAGTGCCTCATGCTTCAAATACCCATTGTAATTGTGAGTAATAAACTTTTGGGGGAGGTTATTGTTCTCTTGCATCAGACCCAGTGAATGGAGTGTCTCTGCCATAAACAATGAGTTGAATAAAGGCATGAATGAGAAAAGGCACACACGGCCATGATGATATTCAGCATCTTGCACAGTGCCTAATACTTAGTAGGTGCCAACAAATCTATGAATTGAAGAGATGAACGCCACACAGATAGCTGACTAGCGAGGCGGTAACTACTTACTGAAGCTGAATGAAAAGGTGAGGTATGCAATTTGCTTTTCTTGTGCAAGAGAGTCACTAAAATAATTGAAAAAATACAATGTCCCTTGATCTGGGAGTTGCATAACTGCTGATAATTATGTCCTCACCCAGCTCTGAAAACAGCGATGGGTCTGAAAATATCATTAAGCTAAAGGACAATTATGGTTTGCCCAAGTATTTTTTTAATGGCTTCAATTTTATTCTTCCAGACTCATTATGGTGTCCCTGCTCACACAGACCAGCACGGCCGGGATCAACAGACTGCAAAGACGATGTCTGAGCTCACAGATCAAGGGACTGGGGCTGTGTTGCCCAGGCACCCTCCGCCCTCCTCCCAACAGTACAGCGACCTTCAGAGCACCCAAGAGACGCACCTGTTTTTAGACTCAGCAAACGGGGCACACAATTCTGGATCTGGGTCCAAAACATGCTCAATTTCCTTTGGGGCCTTCTCATACATTTTTTTTCTTTCCGTCTGAGCCTTGTTTGTCTCCATCGGCGGGAAGTCGTAATAGCCCTTCCTCTTGGCTTTGAGGCGCAGCTTGTTCCGATAGTGTTCAATGTCAGACTTCTGCTTCAGGGCCTTGTTCACCTGGGGTAGAGACAGACAGACTCAGGCCCACACCCCACCACCTGGGAGGACAAGTAGGAGGCCTTCCTCTGAGGCTGTGACTCTTGAAGAGCCACCCAATGCTTTACCTCTGGCCTTTGAGTCGGCCAGATGCACCCGTCTCCTCTTCCAAGACCAGCCTATAACAGTTGGCCTCAGACAGTGGAGCCTGGCCCTCACCGAAGTCACTCCACATCTCCCAGGGCCCCTTTCTCCCTAATCTATCTAAGTCTGCTCAGGCCTAGGCTTGAAGCTGTATGTTCAGCTTTGTGGTATGGAGCTCAATCCTGCCCAAACCCTTATGGTTTCCCTGTGTGGGAGCCTCTGCCTCAGTAGCCCAGCCAGGGATGAGTTGGGATGAACAGGGTAAAGAAGGGGGGCAGACACCATCTCATAGAAGGGAATATGGCCAATGTGCCTTCTGACCCATCAAAGATACAAGCAGATGACTAAGCTAATGGCCAACAAATGATGAGGATGTAAAACCTACAAACAGCCGAGTGGTAAAATCTGCCTGATATTTATAGGATGATCTGGACAATCATTTGTAATCAGATGACTATGTTTACATAACAATGTATGGTGCAGAGAGCAATCTCACAGCTATAATTTCAAGGGATAATCCTCAAAAATCTGGAAAGTATGAGGAAATGGAGGTCCCAAAAGGTTAAGCTAGCCAAGTGTGGAGTTGGGACACCCCAGTTCTCTGAGTAAGTGTTCCCCTTTATCGAGAGGTACAATGTGTAGTTACTAGGGTGCTTCATGGGCATGGACTCTTCTTAATCTTCACTGCATCCCATTAGCCAGTTTAGTATCACTGCCTACATGACAGATGAGATTAAGGAACTTTCTCAAGGCCCCCCAGATAATCAGAAAGGAGCCAGGATTTGACCTTGGACAGCTGAGTTCTGAGTCTGCACTGTTAACCACTATGTACATAGCCCTTCAGTATGAGAGGACAAGGACGTGCAGATAGCTCAAAGTCAATGTCCCTGGACTGGGAGATTTCACCTGGGAGACACTGGAGGGAGGCGTTTGTCAGAGTTGGGAATTTTCATCTGGAAGATGCCCAAGGCAGTGGTTATCTGGCAGTGCATTGGACCTGGCAAAAATCCAGAAGGCTCTATGGCAAACCTACTGAATCAGAATTTTCATGGCACATGAGAAATACAAAGGTAGTGAGAGGGGAGCAGAAGTTGCTATGAGGAGCTCCCTCAATTGTCTGACCAATGTTAAGGATGGGGGGCAGGGCTACAGTTGTCTTTGTATCCCTCCTGGACTGGAAGATCCAAGTAGCAAGGCCCAAAGCTTAGTATGCTGGGCTTCTGGCCAATCAGGACCACAAATCCCTGACCTGCCATTGAAGTGCTTTAGTTTTTTTTTCGTTTTTTTTTTTCTTTAATAGAGGCATGTTTTATTTATTTATTTATTTATTTGTTTGTTTGTTTTTTGTTTATACATGCACTGGGTACAGTCAGAAGCACGGGAGGGTGAGAGAATTCACCAGAGCCAGAGCGGGGAGCAGAGCAGGCAGAAGGACTGAAGTACACTGCTGAGGGGAGCAGCAGGCGCGGCAGGAGAGGTCTGTGCGCCATGTGGGACCCTCCTCCGGTGGCTGGGGAGCAGCCGGGGATCGAACCGGCGCCGCAGAGACCACGGGCAGCTTTGCAACCCAGCGCTCAACCGCTGCGACACCGGGGAGGCCCCATTGCAGTGCTTTAGATTAAACTCTTTTTTGTCTTCTTAATTCTCTTCTATTTGGATAATTAACTTGAAATCTGCTAGAAGGTCAAGACTTCAAAAATTAAGGCCAGGCAGTACTCGTTTCTGCTCAAGGACATTTTCCCTCAATCCTCCCTTCTCCCTTGTCTGCCACAGGTAAGGGCTCAGGGTCATCTCCTGAGACAAACTTACGTGCAAAGAACATAGGGGAAGATCATCTTTTTAAAGTCAGTCTCTTACACTCATCCCCAACTCTTAATGAAATGTTCACCAGAGTTCGCTTGGGTTAATAAACAAACACTCCTGGGAGGGTACTTCTGTTGCTTCCAGTCATTCACATCTTAGTGATGGAGCAGCACAGAGCTGGGGCTAAGGAGGGTGGACATTCTGGAACTAGACCAACTGGCCAGGTTTAAATCCTACTCTTCCTAGCTTTGTGACCTTCATCACATTACTTAATTTCTCTGTGCATCTTTCAGTGTAAGCAGGAGGGAGTAATACAGTCACTTAAAGCACAATGACATTTTGGTCCCACAAGGGACCATGTATGATGGTGGGCTCTGTACTCTATACTGGCCCAGCTGCGGGGTAGGTTGTACCATCTAGGTTTGTATCCTTCTACGATATTCACACAATGAAGAAATCACCTAATGACATGTTTCTCAGAACTTATCCTTGCCATTAAGTAGCACATGTCAGCAAGCAGCCCTACCTCCCAGGGCGGGTGTGAGGATCACGTGAATTCATATATACAGATCATTTAAATGGCCAGAGGCTGAGGATGACTTACAAATATTATTGTTAATGTGGGGTTAGTAGGATTTCTTTATAGGTAAGAGCAAGGGAGAGAAAGGGAAGGGAAATGAGTAACTTTGGGAGCAGAGTACTCAGGTGGGTGGGCTTGGGTGGAGCGGGATGGAGGGGGACCTTGAGCAGCATGAATGCAGTGCAGGGGTGCTGAGGAGGTATGAAGGGGCAGGGTATATGAAAGAAGGGGCAGAGGCAACAGGTTGACTGCATAACTTGGTCTCAGAATGCCCTTCCTCTCCTCGGGTCCATGAAAGCTACTCTGGGTGCATTTTTTCTGGTTCTTGTTTGGGGAGAAAACAAGAAAAGGTAGTGGCAACGAGGCTGCAAGAAGCAGGCTGTAACAACACACTACAAGGACTATGTTTGGCCAAAAAGTGTGGTAAGAACGCTGTGTTTTATGCAACCAGCAGGAGTCATGCGCCTGAGAAATGATATCCTAGCCTTGAGGACAAACTCAAATACCCAGAGAGCTGTGTAAATGGCAACGGAGACCTCTAGTTGGGATGTGATACTCCACACTGCTAGGCTATTTTAGAAAGGAATTCATCCAGTGGTAAAAACGTACCAACCCAGAGTACAAGGCCTGAGGTCAGCTAATACCAGGCTGCTTCTTAGATGCTCTGTTTTTACCACATTTGAAGAAACGTAAACTGGAGGTCCCATTTTTTCCCCTAACTTTTGCAAAGATCTCCCCCAGTTGGTCTCTAGTGATACGTTTAGACTGGTAGCACTTCACAAGTTTCAATTTGTTCTTTCATTCTCCTTGTCATAGAGAAAATAAGAGAAGTAGCTAGCAAGATGTCCTCCAAGCCAGGAACCCATTTCTGGAATCTCTACTAAAGCAACATTCCAAGAGAGGTTCAAAGTCAGAGACAAATGTTAATATCACCAGTAATCAGACCCATTGGGATCAAGTGATTCCTGACAAGATGCTCACGAGACGTGGCTCCCAGGTTTATGCCAAAAGCACACAACCAGCATCCATTTATAAGAACACATCAGACAAACCCAAATTGAGGGATATGCTCCATGATTACTGGACAGTGCTCTTCAAAGAGTCATGGTCATGAAAGACACAGAAGGGTCACAGAGGCTGATGAGGAACTACCCCAGGCTGGAGATGACTAAAGAGACAACTAAATGCCATGTAGGATCCTGGACTCTGGATCAGAAAAAGGTCACTATCAGGAAAACTGGTGAAATTCAAATGAGATTCATAAATTAGTCAATAGTAGTATATCCATGTTCATTTCCTGGCTTTGATAATTATTCTATGGTTTTTGTCAGTAGGGATAGCTAGGTGAAGAGCATCCAGGAACTCCCTGTGCTGTCATGCAACTCTTCTGTAAACCCCAAACGACTTCAAAATAAAAAGTTTTTAAAAGCCATGTGTGAAATTAGTCATTGTGATGTTATTTATAATAGCCAAAACTGAAGCCAAAACCTACCTGGAAGTTTTGAACAATGGGAGATTAGTTTTCTAATCAATGATACATCTATTCAATTAAATCACTAGCAATGAACAGAAAGACAACAGCAACACAGCAAATGCTTAAGATAGAAGATATAAAATTATCTGCGTAGAATGAGATTTTGAAATACACGCAAGTGATCAAAAGCTTGATGAGAAGTTGCAAAAAATGGAAACAGGATATGTTAGGGCACTGAAATTATAGTGATTTTTCTTATTTTCTGAACTTTCTATGTTGTGATGTTTTCTTTAAAATAATCTTTAAATGAATGTCCTATAATTCATGAAAGGAAAATTTATGGGTTTGGGGCTGTGCTGTTTTCACTTAAACAAGTGCCCATAAGAGAACGAAGAAAATTATAAGACAATCTGCTCTAACACCACAAGACAGCAAATTACAGAGAACAGTTCAGGGCTCTCTTTCCATCCAAATGCCAGCAAGGGCCATTCCTTTAATGACCAAAATGTAACAAGTATCCATTTCTGTGACAGGGTTATGGGCCTGGCAGAAAAAGGGAACCGAAGTTGAATACAGGCGAGACATGGACTCTGTCCCCATGAAAGTCACCTCACTAAGCAGAGATGAAAAGATGCAGGCATGGTGGCCATTAGCTGGGTCTACCGGGCAGAGGGTTCTAAGTGGAAGCAGTGACCAGTGCATCAGTGATAACTGATCACTGGACTTGTACGTTTAGTGGCAAAATTGTGCCTAAGGAAAGATTCAATGGCCATGATTGGCTTTGAGAAGACATACAGATTCCCAAATTACAGTCAAGGGGCATAAAGTACAGAGTCAATGAATCCTTGCTGATTGGCTCACTAACGGTGATGATAATAATGTATGTATTGTGTGTCAGGCACTGTTCTAAGTGCTTTACATATATTTGATCCTCAAAACAGCCCTATTTTACAGCTGGAAATACTGAGGCCTAGAGAAATTAACCTGCCAAAGGTCACACAGAGAGTAAGTAGAAGAGCTGGGATGCAAACTTTTGCAGGGTGGCTTAGATTTCATCGTCTTTTGAGCACAATGCTATTTTCCACTGACAGGCCGTAGCGAGTCAAAGAGAGTAAAAGAGCCCTGGACAGAAAGCCAGGGGACTTGAACGCCTAACTGTCATCATCCTGCAGTATGAAGCTGAACAAGCCTCTGGTTTCTTTGTCTAGAAAAGGAAGAGGTTGGGAAAGATGTGCTCTGCAATTCTACGACTAATTAAGTCTCTCAAATTTGGTGAAGCTCAACCCATCCCATACTTAAGAAGAGCTCAGTTTTTCTGGCCAGAAAACAACTGGAGCTTTCTGAATCAGGCCTGGGTGGGGGACAGAGGCCAAGTCCCTGATGTGCACTGACAACGCCCAGGTGTATAGGGTTGTGGCAAGTTGGGTGTGGTGCGAAGAAGACTTTCCATCTTTGGAGATCTTCCACTTGTTGCAGGTAACGACAGCAGAATATAAACAAATGAAATGAATGACCAACCTAACAACTTAATAATAGAGAAAAACATAAGTAGGTTAGTATGTGTGCACAAATGTGCAATGCAAGTGTTCACATGCACATGCCAGAGGTGTATTTTGAAATATTTCCAGCCCACTGATCATTCTGCCACAGAAGATGGAGGAATGGCCAATGATTCTTACCTGACCTGCTTTCTTGCTTTCCCTTAAACTGCATCCATTTATGTATCAATGTTCTGTCTATGTGTCCATCTACATGGGTCCCTATCTGCCTGTGTCTATGTATCTATCTATCTATTTATGTGTCTATCTACATAACTGTCTATGTATATATGTATGTATGTATATGTGTATCTATCTATCTATCTATCTATAATTTCTCTATATAATCTATCCATTCATCCATTTTCCTTTGATGAACTCTCATTCTCCAGTGTAGACTACAAATCCTTAACAAACTCTTAGGAATACTGATTCACACGGTGATATCCATTATATCCTCCTGGAAGCAGGCCACAGGATTATTTCAAAATTGCTACAAGAAGTAAAAGTCATTTCAGGGCCTATAGGTGGGCCACGTCTCTGTCCCAACAACAGAACCTTCTCTAGTTCCCTTTCAACTCAAGTCCCTCCCATCCCCACAGCAACTGACATCCCATCATGGACAGTTTAGGCGTGTTGTCAAGAAAGACAGAAGGCTGTGTATGTGGAAGGGGGTGGGGGAAAATTTCTGTTATTCCCCTTTATAACTACAGTTTTAAAAACATCCCCTCTGGAGTTTCCAATGAAGGTAGAAAATGCTCTGAAAAAAACTGCCCAACAAACCCGTTTTGGGTGACTGTGTCCTGATTCTTCCCAGGAGGCCTGCCCATGCAGAGGTGAAAATGACCGAACAAGCCCTGTACACCTGGACTCAACCTGCACTCAGTCTGCTGGGTATGACTCCGGGGTCTGATTCACAGGGGCCTGGCTGCCCTAGCTCTGACCCCTATAGGTCCTCAGGGGCTCACCTCGCCGTTGAGGACTGCCGGCTCCTGGCTCCTGTCTGAGGTGGGGTGTACCACAGGGAGGGCAGTGGGTTTTATTGCGATGAGCTGCACAGATCCAGAAGACGTGTCAAAGGGATCAGCAGCTGTCTTGCCAGAGTTGTCAAACAGAACGGCTCCATCTTCTTCATCACTCACAGGTGCTAAAGTACAACATAAAAACATCAGTTTTATGGTGTTAAGGGGGAGCTGCACCAACATGGCGGTGGCGGGGGGGGGGGCGGTGTGTATTTATGTAAAACTCACAGCCTCAGGACATCACTCAAAATGACCTCAGGAGCAAGGGGCTCTGATTCCGTGCCAAGGACACTCTGCTGCTCATGGAGTTCTTTCAAATTTAAGTTCTGGACTATTCATCCTTTTATTGTGTGGTCAATGGGCAGGAAAGAGCTGGAAAGGCTCCAATTTAAGCAGTGAAAACCATACTCTCAAAACTGATAAAATGCATCGGGGAATTAAAGAGTAAATTTTTCTCTATGTTTGAGTGGGAGATAGGGAAGGTACAATTTGGCCCAATCTGGCAACTATTCTTAAAACACGACCATCAACAGAATAACAGCATTCAGCTCAGCCTCTGCCACTGAAGCTGCCAATTCTTGCATAGGGCTAAGGTAACAAGTCTTTCCTGGTCAACTAGCCACAGTAATCGCTGGTAACCCTTTATCTATTTTTTCTTTCTAAAGGCTGCTTCTCCAAAGATTTGGGTTTGGGTTACTTTCATTTGTCTACAACATAGAAAAGCTGGGGGCCTCCTTGGCAGCGCAAGGAGTTATGACGCAGCACTATGAAGCTATCAGCAGCCACTGCAGCACAAGTTCGATCCCTGGCCAGGGAGGTGATGCACATGGCACGGCAGACCTCTCCTGTCTCACCCACTGCTCCCCTCAGCAGTGTATTTCAGTCAATCCATCTGCTGTTCTGTTCCCCACTCTGTCTCTGATGGGTTCTCTCACCCCCACACAGACACCGCTGGACTGTAAACCAGTTCTTGTATGCATAAATAAATAAATCTTTAAAAAAAAAAACAAAGAAAAGCTAAGAAATAGTCACCAGAGAAACTAATATAAAGCTACAGACAACTCTCCTAATTAAATAGAGTGATTTCCACCTACGCTTGTTAAATGAACTCTCCTTTCTGACAGATAATTCTGCTGTTTGTTGAAAGACACCAGTCTGCCTTGTGTTTCCATAACTATAAACTGACAGAAGTTCCAGGGCCAGTGGTATCTTGTCGATTTACTTGTTCTTAAAGCATATTCCCATTAAGTAGCTATAAGAATGACAGTTTATTGAGCATGGCTTGGCAAGAGATAAATTAAGCCTGTTCAAACAACTAAACCAGTAGGCAATTTAGGAGCAAAATAGGTGTTATATAAGATATGAGAGTAACAGAAGTGTATTCATCTTTCCTCCTGTCTGCTCAAGAGATTGGGAGGCTATTTAAATTATTGAGAAACACATAGTTTGTATCATTCTGTCACTTATAATCACAGAAGATTTGTCAAATTAAGGCAAGTGAATTGTTATTTTACAGTACTGCTACTTTACAGAGTCTAACAATGGATTATAATTTATAGAGTATTTTTTGGTTCTGTGCATTTATTTCCAAATAGCAGGCCATCAAGCAACTAATGAAAGAAGAAAATTTCTATTTAGATGTGTTTAGATGAATGTATCTTTTCAGAAAAGAGTTTTTGCTGGGCAACTCTTGCCCATGTGGACAACTGCTCTGAAAGCCATTGTGGTAGCCAGCCTCCAAGACGGCACCCAATAATCCCCCCCTCCCGACATGCACAGTCATGATGACAGAGAATAGGACGTCCTGGTTAACCAATAAGAAATTGCAGAAATGACACTGACTTTCAAGACTAAGTCATAAAAAAAAAATTGTGGTTTTCACTTTGCTCTTTCCTGGACCATTTACTCTGGGGAAAGCCAGCCGCCATGTTACAAGGACACTCAAGCAGGCCCATGGAAACGCCCATATGGCAAGAAAGTGAGACTCCTGTCCAGCTATGTGAGTGAGTCATCTTGTAAGTGGTACAGGAGGCCCAGTTGAGCCTTTAGATCACTATAGCCCAGGCCAACATCTTAACTGCAACCTCATAAGATACTGTGAGCAGGACCACCCCGCTAGCTCATGCCTGAATTCCTGACCCAGACTTTATGTGAGATAATAAATAAAGATTGCCAATTTTGGTGCTAGGTTTGGGGTGATTTGTTGTGCAACCATAACTAACACACCTCCTCAACAATGTCCCTTCTCCAAGCTTCTATTCTTCTGCCCTTACTCCTAAAATATATACACTACCAGCAGCCAGGATGGATTGTCTTTTCAAAAGGTAACCAGACCACAGTAGTCCTCTCTCCCAGAAGAAAACCCAGTATTGACCAGGGCCAACAAGATCCTTTGGTATGAGCTGACTGCCTTGCTGAGTCCACTTCCTCTCTCTCCCATCACCCACTCTGCTCAAGATACACTGACCTTCTTGATCACATCACACTAGTCCCACCTCAGGGATTCTGCATTAGAGGTTCCTTCTACTCAGGATACTCTTTTCCCAGAGCTGTACAGGCCTAGTTCCTTCTTATTTTTCAAGTTGCAGCTCAAAAAATGCTTCCCTTACCCACCTACCTAAAACAACTCACCTGTTTTATTTCCTTCATAGCACTGAACACTATCAATTTGTTGTACAGTAGACCCTTGAATGCATTTACTATACTTACCCATACCTTCAGTTTACATCATCTGGTTAGAAGAAATTCTGTCTATAAAAGAACACCTGTAGTCCAGACCTTATCGTTCAAGGGTCAACTGTTTTCATTCAATCTGCTCCCACCCCCGCCACTAAAATATAAATTCCATTCCTGCCTTTCTTTTAAAAGCCTGGTGCCTATTCCTTTTAAATGTTTCATGCAATTAGCTTTCAGTAAGGATCTGTCAAATAAATGAGTGAACAAAGAAAGGATTAAAATTTCCTGACCTGGGAAAGGAGATGCTTGAGTATCTGCAGGACAGGTAAATGTGTCATGCTATCACTAAGTAGCTCCAGAGGGTGAAGAGATGGCACTTAGTATTATCACAGCATCTGGGTTGTGACACCCTCACCTCCTATCCTACAGGAAGGGCCAGGGAGGGTGGGGGAGCAAAACTATAAGACAAGAAAGGACACCCTGGAAAGAGTGTGGGCTACAGTTCTTTTTCATCCTCAGTCTCAAAAATGTTATATTGATATTTGCACAATAAGTCCTCTAGGTTTGTTAGGGGGAAAATTAATTAGTTGTCCCCGTTTAAAAAAGACTGTGGAGGCACGCAGACCTCTCCTGCCGCCCGCTGCTCCCCTCAGCAGTGTACTTCGGTCCGTCTGCCTGCTCTGCTCCCCGCTCTGGCTCTGGTGAATTCTCTCACCCTCCCGCGCTTCTGACTGTACCCAGTGCATGTATAAATAAATAAATAAATGTTTAATAAAAAAAAAAAGAGCATATATTTTAAAAAATATAAAAAAATAAAAAAGACTGGAAAAAACCATTAATAGGCAATACATTAAATATTAATACGTTAAAATGTTGTGTGAGTACAGCAGGTTCATGGGAATTTTAAATGTATAATTAGTCCCTACAGAAAAAAGCCTGGGAGAAATGCTATAGAACAGGGCCATGCTTTCACTGAGGAAGTGTCCTGGTATCCGTCACAACATCACAGGCAATGCCACTGAACAATCTGCTCAGATCTAACAGCCTTGTATTTGCATAGTTGGTTTTAATTTCTATAAATCAGGCTGGAATGGGAGATTTCATTTCTTCATGTTTGAATGAATGGAGAGAACACTCCCATCTGAGACAGCAAATGCTCTTTCTGCAATTGTCATTAAAGCACAAAGAGAAATAATCTACAACTAGAATCACTGTTCTCTGCTGTGGCTTATCAAGTAATAAGCAAGTCTTCACCTCATTGGGAAAGAAAGAATGAAAACTCAAACTGTTTTTGAGCTGGTATCTCAGACAAAGGCCTCTTTCCTCAAGGGCCTCTGCTAAGAATGTAGTAATCCATCCTTTAAATTCTCTAATTCTTCTCCTCTGGCCCCAACTGCCCCACGACTGCTAGGAAGCAAGGTCTGATTCCACTCTGGATCCTGGCTGTGAAATCTCTTAGTGGCTTAAAGGAAGCTGCATGCTTAAGGGTTTATGGAAGCTTTTGCTCCTAATTGAATAAAGATGCGAATACATGTGTTATGTTCTCATCTTGAACTCATGTTCAACTCTTTCCCGGAAAACACGCTTTCTAAGGTGGCACTGGTTTTATTCAGAAGTTTAAGTGTCTATATTTGGTTAGGAAATACCAAATTGTTTTGCTTTCAAATTCTAGCTCTCACATCTAACTTTCCCACTTAAATTTAAACTTCTCCTGAAGCACACTGTATGATCACCTTGCTGCTATGGTAACTAATGAGGCCGCTGAGCCACAAGGTCGCCAGCCAGTCACACTGCTTATCCAGATAGTGTCTTTTCCTTTTAAATTTCTTTTCACCATAGTGGAAAATGAGAAACAACAGATGCAACTAACCTGGTGGGAAATCAGAATAATTTTAGAATGACAGCCTGGTACATTAACATCTATTAATTAACTTTAGTAACCCTAGCCTCTAGCATGGAAACCAAGCCACGAGCCAGTATCTGAATATTTCATTCCAAGAGAATAACTCCAGAGGTCATATGCATACTCTACGGTGCTATTGTAACAGGGTGGTCCCCAGGAAAGGGGGAGGTTTCAGGTTTCCTGCCCCACCCAAAGGAGGGTGGAGCTGAGCAGGGAGAAGCAGCAGCTGCAGAAGAGACTGAGGAAGGAAAGAAGCAGGATGGAGAGCCAGAAGGAGGACCTGGAGGAGGCACATGGAGCAGAGAGACACGTGAAGAAACTGCACTTGCTTCTTGGTCCTGGACTGGTTGAAACAGAAGTGGGTGAGAGAATCGTGGAGAGGTGACAATGGCGGTTTTTGTCTTGATTTTGATTTTTTCCTCCCAGACTTGTCTGGTTGTTTCTGATCCTTTTCTGTGGGTCCCCACCAAGAGGTGCTTTAGACATGTGGCAGGCTTTTGGGCCTTGCTCTGGGCCAATCCTGTTTGGGTGGACTTTTCCCTATGAGGGGACGGGTAACTTTGGGTGCTTGATTTAGAAACTATATTCTTTGCCTTTCCCGTATTGTTCACTAATTGTATTAAAGTTCCTTTTCATTAAAGTCTCATATGTTTTGTGTTGATGCGGCGGATGACAGCACCTATTTAGAGCAGGCAGGTTTGGGGGGTCTGGGGTGCCCCTCTCCCTGCCCTGTAACACTTTCTCAAGAAGACAATGTGATGAAACCTTTCTGGTTTTGCCATAATTGCAGTCAATGTTATTTTCTTCCTTCTTTCCTTCCTTAGCTCATCTTCCCATCCATTAAAATACACTACTGAATTTTCTGATGAACTCTAACTTAGTGTTATGATAAACTGGAGCCCCTTGAGAAAAAGGCCAAGTGCAGGTTTCACTGAAGAGCCATTCTAGACTTATGTGCTTCCATGCCTGTTGAATTTTACATTAAACAAGTTGGTTCTATTGTTTCTATTTGAAAATTTCACATGGAAACCTCACTGAATGGAACCCATTGTGAAACAGAAATGATCAACCCTGAAAATTCACTGGGTTTACTTAGGGCAAAAATAAAATGCAACAGAGCTCTGCGAAATCCAGAGGAAAGATGGCTTTTTAATAAAACAAACAAATAAAAACCTCAACTTGGTACAGTAATTGCATTTTATTCATGCACCCAGCTGTTGTTATTCCTCAACCTGATATTTAAATACTCAAAATGACCTAAGCATAATAAGAAGGCAGGCAGGGAAGTTGGAAAAACAAGACTGGGAAGGTCAGCAGGAATTTTTAGAGCAGCTCAAAGTCTCATCAGCAGGGGTAGGGAAGTAAGGGGTCTGGGACTGCTCACTCCCTCCTTTTCTATGGATTAAATGTGGGGGGTGGGTAAGACATCTTATAAATGTGTACTTACTGATAGAGGGGTCTGTATATATTGCATTTTTGAGCAAGAAAAAGGGTGTAGGACAATACATACATTGATCTTGTTTTATAAAACAAAGCAAAGCATTACAACAAAAGACAAAAGATACATGTGTATCTTTTATATGCCTACGAAAAAGGTCTAAGAAAGCCAGGGACTGAGTTAGTCAAGGACATGGGCCTCAGGGGATGGCAGACTTTGACTTGACTTTGCATATTTCCAGGAAGTATATAAAGGCAGCAGGAGGAGGGGAGCATGACTTAGTTAAAACAACTGAAGGATAAGGTGATAGGAAGTGATGTGAGGTTATGGGAAGAGATTTTCTTTTTCCTAGAAAAGAGATAATCTCACATGTGTATAGATTTTCTTTTCTTTTTCTTTTCTGTCTAGAGAAAGAAAATTTATTGAGAAGACAGAAATAAAATGGGACTCCCTGGCCGGTGGAACCAGGCCAGGCAGGGGTAAGGAAGCCTGCTCATAGATCTTCACCAAGCAAAGGAGTAGCTGATGGTCGCAGACAATGGAAGAGAAAGAAAGCAGCAGGGAAGCTGAGGACAGGCTCTGAACTTGGAGGGTGCCTTAGCGTGCGCGCTCCACTGTCTCAGCACGCACTCTGGGCAGAAAGAAAAGAAACTTGTTAAGTTTGGGTCACCCTTTACAAGTCAGTGTCCTCTGGCTTTTGTGTTTGCTTGGCAGAGAGCTGACAGGCAGGATTTCTGGGGAAGTACCAGGAAGGGCAGATACGCCAGGAAAATCCACATGTCAACCTGGATTCTGGGGAGGAAAGCACAATTTCTGTTCACGGGCATGGGGAAATCAGGAGAAGGAAAATAGTCAAGAGTCAAATCGGTATGACAAACAAGTGCATTATATAATGCTTGGAAACGGGAACAGGCACCACATTTTCCCTGCAGAAGACAAAGAGTATGTCTTTTTTTCCTTTCCTTTTTGGGTCAGAAAAACTAAATAAGGCAGCTTTCCTGCCCACTTGTGACTATGCAGGTGCCTTTTTCTCTTTTTCCTAATGAACCTGTCCTTTCAAAATGTAAATAACGGCCTCCCTGGTGGCCCAGGGGTTAAAGTCTCAGCGCTATCAAGTTATCACCAGATATCACGAGCCACTGGCACAGCAGAACTTTCCCTTGTAACAGGGTGGTCCCCAGGAAAAGGGGAGGTTCCAGGTTCCCTGCCCCACCCAAAGGAGGGTGGAGCTGAGCAGGGGGGGAAGAAGCTGCAGAGGAGACTGAGGAAGGAAGGAAGCAGGAGGGAGAGCAAGAAGGAGACTAGGAGGAGGCACACGGAGCAGAGAGACATGCGAAGAAGCTGCGCTTGCTTCTTGGCCCTGGATTGGTTGAAACAGACGTGGGTGAAAGACCCGTGGGGAGGTTAACCATGGCAGCTTTTATTTTTATTTTGATTTTGCTCTTTTCTTCCCAGACTTGTCTGACAGTTTCTGACCCTTTTCTATGGGTCCCTGTTGGAAGGTGCTTTGGAGTTGTGGCAGGATTTCAGGCTTGCTCTGGGTCATTCCTGTTTGACTGGACTTTTATCAATGAGGGGGTGGGTAACTTCGGGTGCTTGATTTTAAAACTATATTCTTTGTATTTTCTTTGTTGCACACTAATTGTATTAAAGTTCCTTTCCATTGAAGGTCTTATGTGTTTTGTGTTGATGCGGTAGATGGCAGAGCCTATTAGAGCAGGCAGGTTTGGGGGTTCTGAGGTGCCCTTCTCCCTGCCCTGTAACACCCTCAGCAGTATATTTCAGTAGATTCACCTGTTCTGCTCCCCACTCTGTCTCTGGTGAATCCTCTCACCCCCTGCACCCCTGGCCTACACCCCAGTTCTTATATGCGTAAGTAAATAAATCTTTTAAAAAATAAAATGTAAAAAGAAAAATGAAATAAGGAAGTGCCACTTGAAAACTAAAGAATATTCTGGTACTAGCTTCAAGGGAGAGGCCCTGAGTGGTACTTTATCAAATTCTGATTTTTCACTGGGTGTGTCTATAACCCTCTGAAACCCACAATGAATTTTCCTGATTTGAGAGACAGCATTGGGTACTTAATCCTGGGCTCCAGCAAGCCAGCATCACACCATGGAAGGAGGGAGTGGAGATGAGGGTCAGAACAAAGGAGGGATCAGGAGGCTGTGTGATGGTGTCCAGCAGATGCCCTCTGTACCCCGGGCCATAGCACAGTGTGGTAGCTCTGATGGCTTAAAATAAACCCCAACCCCCCAAGTGTTACAGGGACGAAAAAGAGCCATGTGAGAAACTAAACAGTTGTGTTTCCCTGGAGAATAAAGGCGGAAGCATAAGCTGATTTTTATGATGACAGACTTATTACTGTGTTATTTTTCTTGGGAGAGGTGGATTTGCAATATCTGGACTTGCTGGCATAGACTAAACCCCTGAAATTTGTCAGGGGAGGGTCAGGACAAGGAAACGAAGGGAATCTCCAAGACAAGCAGCATTTCAGAGCCCTGCTAGGGGACAGAAATCACCTTGATTCACCCAGCAATTAGAAAAATCTTTGAGCAAACATTAGACCATTCTGCAGAGGGTTTTTCAAAGGCATTGCACAATTCCCTAACAACAGGGGGCAGAAGGAGGAGAGAGGAGTAATTCAGAGAAGAAAGTGGTAAGGTGATACTCCCAAGAGGCAGGTGGAAGATTCCTGGTCTTTGTAGGGCACAGCAGACAGAGGCACTGAGGATGAACGCTCACTGGCATGTGGGTGTGTGTGCAAGTGTGCAGGGGTGGGCTCAAGGTGGTCCTGGGCAGGGCAGACTCTCACCATTTCTCTTTCGAGCCTCCTCCTTTGTCACTTTCTGCTGTGCCATTACATTCTGGGGCGAGTGCTTCCCCGAGCTGGGCTTCCCTGATTCGTTGCTGATGACAGAGCCGTTCTCACTGGGCGACCTGCTGGAGGTAACCATAACAACAAGGAGATGGTAAGTTTTGACTAGAGCAGCCTCTCTCAAGGTTATTTTATGTGCAGCATATGGCGGTAGGCTTTCATTCTGGTTTTTATCTACAAAGAAGAAATGATACAAGGAAGGCAAAGAGAAGCTGCACGCTATATGGGAAGCAGCGGGTTGTTCTGAATTGCATTTACCAGTGCTCGGCTCTGCAGAGAAGTTTAGTGAGCAAAGACCTCAACTCCCATCGCTTCTTTATTAACACCCACCCCCATGCCTCCACCCTCATCCCATGGCTACAAAAACAGTGGCAATGAGGTTTGTATACCTTGCTCTCTTTTTAAAAAACAAAGCACTTTGGGTAGTGTGATAGATTCACATGGCATCTTCAGGGATATGCATAAACATAGTTCTCTTTGATTATTCTCTTTAGAGAAGATCGTTTGACTATTAAAGATTAAGTCACTCTACCACCGAGTTCTCCATTCTCTCACACATACTTACACACACACAAACACGTTATTTAACTGTGCTAATTGGCAACTGCTTACATGTGAAACTACCAATGTGAGCTATACCTTCATCCAGGAAAAATTTTATGTGTACCTACTATGTGCCAGCATTGTGCCAGGTATACTGACACAGAGACATCACCCTCACTCTCCAAGAGTCTCAAGGCACCTCTGAGATTGATTCTCCATCCTCACCCATTCATACCAGGGGCAAGATGGGGAAGCCAGAAACAGAGGTGTGCTGCGTTTGCTCTTGGGTCTGGTGTCTTAAAAATCTTCCCAAATGATCAGAGATTCCCACAGTTAGATTAACTCAAATGGAGGCGAGGTAATGACACAGGCTGCCTTCGACTAAATTATATTTTTAGGGTAAAAACTATGCATCAAATGTAGAAATCATTTAGCAATATAGGAATTGTTTTCTTTATTTGTTCTGTATTTCTATATTTTTTCATAAAGCTTAATAAAAAAGTGAGGATAATTGAATTTGATAACCAAGAGTAGACTCCTTGCCAATTAAAAAATTGCTTGTTCAAAGAAAAATTTTAAGAAATGTTTATACAATTTAAACCACTCCACTAGATGGGTGGAAAAGAACTATTATTATTCCTTCTAGCAGTGTTATGTTAATATCCTAATATTAGTAATTCTATCTATTTCTTTTCAGTGTCCTCTACATAGGTGATAAGTTAACATGCTTTTATTGTATTTGGCAAACATAGTGAAAGTAATTTCATAGGTAGTTCTACTTGCCAGCCAATTCAAATAAATCCTCAATGGCTTCTCTGTATGTTTCATCTCTCCATGCTGGGGTAAACTGTTGTAATAGTCACCTTCTTGTAACCAGTAGTCACCTTCTTGTAACCAAGTTTTGGGGTTTTCCGCGCCCATGGTGATGCTAGACTTGACCATTGTCTTGCTTTGCCAAACAGATTAGCAAGTGTGACACAAGCAGCAACTTGAGATGCACTTACACTTTGGGGTTTGTTTTCTTCCTGCCCCAGGAACTCTGTGACCATCTTGTAAAAAAGCCAGGACTAGGCTGCCGGAAGATGAGACCAGGTGCTAAGAGTCCCACGTCTGGCCACCCCAGACAAGACTGTCATCAACAAGCCAGTACAGCTGACGTCAGTCACCCTTAACTCAGATCAGAAGAAACACCCAGCTGAACTCAGCCCAAACTGCTGACCCGCAAAAAATCATGAGCTAAATAAATGGTTGCTTATGCTAAGATTGGTTTGTTATGGAACAATAGATAACTAATCTACATGCCCTCAACCACATGCCCTGTAATCCAACCTTCTGCTCCTCTGCACCTCTTTCTGTGGTACCCAAAGCACCTGAGGAAAAACACACATTCTTGTTGACTCTAATACAGCATTTAGTGTATTTTTGATACAGACAATCCTTCCTTGGCTTCTTGGATTCCACTTTTGCTTTGTTCTCTTCAGGCCTTTCTTCCTGATACTTTTCAGTTGCCTCACTGATTTGTCTTCATTTCTGGATCTCTAATCATTACAGTGCCCCAGTGGTCAGTTTTGGTGCTCGTCTCTGTCAATACTCTCATAGGTGATCCCATCCACTCTCATAGCTTTACGTAACTAATGACTGACAACTTCTAGATTTATGTTTCTGCCCTGAGCCTCTTTTCTGAGCTCCTGACTCATATGGATAACTGAGGTCTCAAATTTTCCATTTGCATGTTTGGTGGACATCTCATACCTAATAAGCCCATGTCCAAACTCATGATGTCCCCTACTAACTCTTCTCATCGTTCTTCCCAGATCTCACAACAATCTATCAACAAATCTTGTCAGCTTTATCTTCAAAATCTCTCTCCAATGTAGTTGTTCCCACATCACCATGTCTACCCCCCTGTCTCTTACTGGGACAACCACAACAGCCTCCTAACAGGTCTCCCTACTTCTACTCTACTTCTCTATGATCTATTTTCCACACAGTAGCCAGAGGGAGACTTTAAATCACCAAGTCGCATCACGTCACTGTTATTCACAAAAGCCTCCAACGACTTCTGATTTCTATTCATAATCAAATTCCAAGTTCTGACTTTGGTCTACTGAGCCTGAATGAACAACTTCAGGCAAATTCTCAGATGCACCCGCTACCACCGTCTCTAAGTTCACGCTAGCCTCCTTGCTCTTCTGTCAGCATATTAAGAAGTTCCCTCCTCCGGGATTTACACATACTGTTCTGTCTGCTTGGAACATTTTCCCCCCCAGATAGCCTCAAGGCTCATGTGCCATTTCAATCAGGTCTTTCTTAAATGTGTCTTTATCAGAGGGGCCTTCTCTGACTTCTTATCTAAACTAGCATCATATCCCCCTCTACCTCTCTATCCCCTTACCATGCTTTGGTTTTCTTCTTTATATCATCACCACCTAACCTATGACACAGCCATTTCTCTATTTGTTTAATGTCTATCTCTTCCCATAATACTGCAAGCCCTGTGAGAAGAGGGACTTTGTCTATAGCACCAGTACCTGGTCAAAAGTAAATACTCTGTAACATGTATGAGGTGAAGGGAAGGAAGGAAGCAGGGAGAATGTAGCTTTTCCTGTCTCCACTGTGATCTCAAGGGCAGAAGAAGGGGGTTGCTAATGGGAGTTGGTTTGGCCAGCCAACAGGGTTTCCACGTGGTTACTACCTCATTAGAAGCCTATTGCAGGGGCCTCCCCGGTGGTGCAGCAGTTGAGCGCTGGGTTGCGAAGCTGCCCGCGGCCTCTGCAGCGCCGGTTCGATCCCCGGCTGCTCCCCGGCCACCAGAGGAGGGTCCCACATGGCGCGCAGACCTCTCCTGCCTCCCTCTGCTCCCCTCAGCAGTGTACTTCGGTCCTTCTGCCTACTCTGCTCCCCGCTCTGGTGAATTCTCTCACCCTCCCACACTTCTGACTGTACCCAGTGCATGTATAAACAAGCAAACAAACAAACAAATAAATAAATAAAACATGCCTCTATTAAGAAAAAAAAAAATTTAAAAAAAAAAAAAAAGAAGCCTATTGCAAAGTCCCTAAAACTTGTGTCTGGTCTCTAGCGTAACTGCTCTCATCTATCATCCATATTGCCACCAGAGCAGTCTTTCTAAATGCAGACTGGACATCACTGCCTCCTGAAGAACTTTCCATGGTTTCCCACTGCCTGGAGAATAAAGGTCAAATTCCCCAGCCTGGCCATTAAGACCCTTTACGTTTTAATCTACCATCTGTACCCTTCACTGCATCCCAACCACCATGAAGGAAAGGCCAGCAACAGAGGCCCTCAGCTCTTTCAGACTGCACACCTTTATCTCTTCCCACTACTGACATCCCACTCGCCCTGCAAGGCCCAGCTAACACTTGCCTTCCTCCATGACATGTTCCCTCCTCAGAAGGCAGGTCCTCCCTCTCTCTTTCCCACAGTACTTTGTCCATGATCCCCCATGAGCGCCCACATATCATATTGATATTCCAACTATTTACCTCTCTGTCTCTCCATCATGAGACCCTTGGGGTCAGACACCCATCTTAAGCTTTTCTGCGGTGCCACCAAAGCCCATCAAAGTGCTCAAAAATGGTTTGTGAACTAAAATCATAAGTTTCTAGAGAAATTGCCAGATAAAACACAACTATACTTAATTAAAGGCACTACTTTTAAGATAAATTTAAAAATTCAAGTGCGACATCAGTGTCAAACTTACAACAAATAGCAGAGCTGAATATCTGCTCTTTGGGTTGACCTGTACTATAAAACCTGGTTTACAAGAAGCAGGTAGTGCGATTCCTATGGATGAGATACCTCAGTCTCCTCTTCAAAACAAACATGAAGGGGAATTATTAAAGAGAACAGTGGAATTAATTTGAGGACTTCAGCTGCTCACAACATCAATTATTTCTCTCGCTGACACAGAGAGGCAGAAGTGGGCCCGTGCCTACCTCTTTCGGGTTTCTGTAGACTTGGCTGTCTTGATGGTGCTTCCATCATGAGCGACGTCCCTTTCCTGCGAAGTAGGGGCATCTCGAGTAGGGAGAGGGAGCACCACTGTTTCCTGAGTCACAGGGATGACCTCCTCATCCGCCCCTTGCTGGCCCAGGTGCTGCTTGGCATAGTCGAAGCCTTGCACAGGCTGTAAAGAGAGAAAAGATTTGCTCACTGGCAAAGTGAGACTCTAGAGGCAACTATGAGAGAAGGCAGGAGGGACGGTGCATGGGGTGGGACCACACTTCGCTTTGTGAAGACAAGAGTTAACTCAACTCTCTACCATAATTTCTCTCTACAAAATCAGTAACCATGTTAATTTCACCAAGCCACAGAATCTTTATAGAGAAAACTTATTCAGAAAAGTAAATAGTGTAAACAAGCTAATATGTTTGTGAGAACAAACTTCTTTCAAGGGTTTTAGACCACTAACTTTAATTCACTGGTTATGGCTAATTCGAAACACTTCTTGATGCATTAGAAATGTCCTGTGCCATCTCCTGCCTAGGAATATCCTGTCATCCCTACTTTCAAGTAGCTTTTTGTGTACTAAGAGGTGTGTGACTTTGCCATGTCCTTTGGACTTAGAACTTCAGTTTTCTCAAATAAGAAATGGAGATAATGGTATCTGCTTTACCTCCACCACCATGGAGTGAGAAAGGGGATCAGGCCTGAACACAGAGAAAACTGCTACCCAGTGTGAGGCAGGACAATCCTTAATGATGAAACAGAATTTAGGGAATCACTCTTTAATCCAAGCCTCTCCCTTAGGCAGGCTGGCTCTCCTATAATTCATTACTAGGAAATTAGCAAGACTTTTATGGCATGAAGTCTGAAGTCTCAATAGGCCAGCTGTGAACATAAGCCAATGGACAGCAATTACTTGTGGGGTAATAAAAAAAAAAACAACCAAGAAGCGTGTTTAAACAATTCTTAGGAGTGTCTCTATTCTGTTTTATAGTCCAAAGCAGCACCATTCTGTTCCTTCCCAGGTCCATCCTGGACAAGCTTATCTCCCTTAAAAACACATCAGGTCATGCCACACCATCGTTAAAAATGCCTCATGGTAACCAAATTCTTTAGCGAAACATTTAAAGTCCTTCATATTCCTGCCGAACCCACCTCCCTAGCCTCCTTTTCTGCTGGCCCCTTTTCTACTGTACTCCATATGTCCATTATGTGATTCAATTTTCTTCCAAATACTATTATTGCACATTGTTTTGTGCCAGAGACTTCAGTTGGTACTGGAGCTAAGGAGACAAATAATAATTGGCCCCCTACCCTTAAGGAGTTCACATTTTCAGCTTTATTTGATATTACCAGTATAGTCCTGAACACATTACATAAATTATGTCATTTCATCCTCTCTGCAGTTCAAGAAGGTAGTATTAATATGATTTCTCCCATTTTAAAGATGAAAAAACTGAGGTTTAGAGGTTAAGCAACTTACCCTGGCTCACATAGCTGGTGTGCAGTAGAGCCAGGATTTGAACCCAGTACTGTGTGACCCAGAACCAGAACACTAAACCCTGATTAGTGATTCTTCCCACAGCCTCTCCTTGCCTCCACAGCCTCCAACTTGGTTGGTATCTCCTTCTGTACTTGCCTGGCTCCCGTGGTGAGATGCTGGCCTACCTGTGAGGAACTGGAAGTTCCCAATGGCAGCTATGACTCCTCAAGAACCTAGCAAGGAGAATGAGCTGCCTTAGCCCTCTTCCCCTTACCTTCCTCCCCTAGCCCCCACTCTCTGGATTTGGCCCCTCACTGTCACAATGAGTTGAAATTGTATCTGTTGGATACTGCAGGAGACTCAGTTGAAGATGAGTAGGCAGATTAAGAGAGAGATTAAGGAGTGATAAATTTAAAAGGTGGTCACTGTTATTAATAATGACAATCCTGCATATGTTTACTACTTAGAGCCTGCAAGACACTGACACAGCATTTGCTCTATAGTCCCATGAGGTAAGCAGAGCAAACATCTCCGTCTTCACTTTAATAGGTAAGAGAATAAAGGCTCAGAGTAGTTTGGTGACTTGCCCTAGATCACACAGCTAAGATATAAAAGACAAGACTAGTTCCTCCTTTCACTTCTACACACAGAGTAGTAATCTTTCAATCTTCAACTTGAAAATCACCTGAGATTAATTAATTGTCCACTTAAACACCTACTACTGACACCATTAAAACAACATCATGAGGTATTTATAGTTACTTCAATAAGTTTTCTAAAACTGCTCAATCAAAATAATTTGCCAAAGTAGACCCATTACTCAGATCTTTTTAGAAGAAAGGCTGTGTAATAAGAAAATCCAATTTGTACCAGGCATAGCTTAAAGTAAATTGCATAACTCACTTCATCCTCACAACAACCAAACACTGTCATCATCCCCATTTCGCAGATGGGAAAACTGAGGCACAATTACAGGTCATACAGAGAGTACAGGAAACAGCAGAAACAGTCAGGCATCTTTAGGGGGTGACTGACCGGTCCAGAGCAGAAGGCTGTGCTAACCATTACAGGCCCTCCAAGCTCCAACCTACGTCTGGTTCTGGCCCTAACTACTCTCTCGTAGGATTGCCTATTCCAGGAAGACATGTTCTCTTCAATTATATGAAGGGATTCTCTTTAACTCCTTCCATTTAAAAAAAAATAAGCAATTATACAAAGGGGAAAACTGAAAAGAGGCTGTGAATCCAATGACAAATAGTAAAGGGAAGAGAACTGGGAAGAAAGGAAGTGACAAAGGCATGAAGCCTGGCCTTCTTGGGGTGACCATTTTCTCACCATTCTACCCATGGAAGCTCAGTTGACAATGGGAATAGGGTTATACTAGTGGTACCTTGTCTCTGAATGCCCTGGTCGCAGCTCCCAGGAAAGCCACACTCACCTCCTGTTAGCATGTTAAGTGTATTACTGAGTCTCAGCAAGGATCTCCAGGAATGTCCTCTGGCACTGCAGCCTGCATTCTAAACATGCTGTGATGTCACTGGACATGAGGAGACCCATCCTCCTGGTCTATGGATTGGTGGCGAAGGGTAACTCTTTCCACCCGCCTGTCCATCAGCATTAAATGAATTCTGCTCACACACACAAGTGGAGAGAAGTGATGCAGGCAGCCCTCTCTTGTCTCAAACGCTGCAGTGTCCCTGGGTCGCAACGGCAGAGGGACTGCAGTAAGAGGAGGCAGTTCCACCCTGCTGGGTTCCCGTGATAAAAGGGTTTTGGAAATCAAAGTGCGTAGCCCAGCCTTGTTGAGGGAGAAAACAAGCAGCACCACCACACACAAGTGAATTCAATCATCTCGAGGAACATAAATTTCCTTGATTTTCAACATCAGCCAGGTAGCTCTCAGAGCACAATGCACCGGATAGGAACATGAAAGGGGCTATGATGACCCACACACATGAATCTGTCTCTGCCTTCAGAAGGTGTGCTGAAATCCTGTGCTGTCCAGCACAACCCGGCAAATTAATAAAATTGTGGCTGAATCTGTAACACACAGATGCAACCTACAACCTCACTATGGCAGGGTTTGCATTCCTGGGCTCGGATGCAATTAGATTCTGGTAATTACTGTTATGTCTGAAAGGCTTCGGTTGTAACTAAGCTACAATGGAAAGGAAATATCCTTTCTTGGAACAGTTTCATTTTCCACTGCTTGGATAATTACCAACACCTTGTGCTGTGTCTGGAAGCGGATGCCTTGGTGTCAATAGAAACAGAACAACATTCTCTGGGGTTTGGCTCTTTGGTAGACAAAGTGTCCGATCAAACTGCAGCTTCCCAACAGGTAAATGGCCTTAATAAACAATAAAATTCATTTGATTTCTTTTGCTGAAGTGAGGTATAATCAGTCACAAAGAACCAGACATGTGTGATGCCTGGAAATCACGATCTCCATGACACGCATTCCAAAGGCCATCAAGTACAAGGGCAATTCACTGTTCCATTGATATACAGGGAGACAAAACTTGGAAGTTCAGAGCTGGAAGAGGGTACTTCATGCCAAATCTTGGGGTTCAGGAAGGTGTGTAATATATAAAAAGCCCAAAGGCTCAGTCACCACTCTGCTGCTAGTTACTTGAGTTTAGACAAGTCCTGCAGTCTCTTTCCTCTAGGTTTCTCATCAGTAAAACAAAGATGGTAAAACCTGCCCTGAATATAACCTGCCTCATAGGGCTGCTGTGATGAGCTATCGAGGTGACAGCCTAGGAGAGTCTAGCAAATTATAAGGCATTATTAAACACTGGGTATTACAGGTCACCATATTTTCTTCAGGGAATGTCATGACAGGGGCTGCGTGACTAGAAAGTCAGTGTTCAGAAATTCTTCAGTCAGTTCCCCTCACTGGTGTCAGAAGTAGCTGGCACAGATGTGGGGCTGTGGAATGTGGCTGGGGCTTCCCAGTCACTGTACTGAGACCAGCACAGTGCTGACCATCCAGCCAGGACTTTGCATCTTGTCCATCAGGGAAGCCTTTGAAGATAAGCCACCAGGGCCAATGGAAGAAGGAAAATTCTGAGTGTTTCAAGTGCCCCACAGAGAGGAGCAAGGGGACCTGGTTCAACCACCAGTTCTTCTGCTTACTGTGCGATCTTGAAAGAAAAACTTTTGGGTAAAAGGTGGTTTCGATGGCCTCCAAGGCCCTTTCAGAGCTATGTAGCTACTAGTTTTCCATGCCTCAGTTTCCTCATCTATAAAAAATAATGGTCCTTCCTCAAAGAGTTGCTGTGAGGATAAAATGAGTTGCTATGTGTAAAGAACTTAAAGGCGGGGCCTCCCTGGTAGCACAAGGGGTTAGGCACAGCACTGTGAAGCGGTTCGCAGCCTCTGCAGCATGAGTTCAATCCCTAGTGGGCCGGGAAGCTGCCCACATGGCACAGCAGACCTCTCCTGTCTGGCCTGCTGCTCCCCTCAGCAGTGTATTTCAGTGGATCTACCTCTTCTGCTCCCTACTCTGTCTCTGGTGAATCCTCTCACCCCCTGCACCTCTGGCCTGTACCCCAGTTCTCATATGCATAAATACATAAATCTTTTAAAAAATATAAAGAATTATGGTGGTAAATTTTACGCTACGTATATTTTACCATATTTTTTTAAAAATTCAAATAAATGTAAAAAATAGTTTAAAAAAAAACTCATGTAATAGAGAATACTTTTGAATCCCCCCCCCCCAAATTCAAATACATGGTCTCATTCAAAACGAGGGTGTGTGAAGATGTTTCTGAAGATTATTGTACTTTAAAAACCAAGAGGCAGGGCCTCCCCAGTGGCGCAATGGTTGAGCACTGGGTTGCGAAGCTGCCCGCGGCCTCTGCAGCGCCGGTTCCATCCCCAACCACAGGGTGAGGATCCCACATGGCGCGCAGACCTCTCCTGCCACCCGCTGCTCCCCTCAGCAGTGTACTTCGGTCCTTCTGCCTGCTCTGCTCTCTGCTCTGGCTCTGGTGAATTCTCTCACCCTCCCGCGCTTCCGACTATACCCAGTGCTTGTATAAATAAATATTAAAAAAAAAAAAAAGACTTAAAAACCAAGAGGCAAAGGGAGGCAGAGTCCCCGCAGCCTGGACCCCTGCTCTCCCACCACCACTTGCACCGACCTTTGCTCTCTGAGGCAGGTTCATCACGGTGTCCGGCTTGAAGTCGTTCTTGTTCTTCCGGCAGAGCACGGCAGTGATGATGATGATGATGACTGTGACCACAGCGATGGGTGCCAGCACTGCGGCGATGATCCACAGGTTGTTGGGTGGACTTTTCACCACGGCTGTGAGAAGAGCCAGCAGAAAGCACATGACAAGGAGCAGGGGGAGGTTCCAGGAGGGATGAGAAGTCTGAGGATAACTCTCTTCCCCAATCCCAAGTCATGAGATATTTAAGAGGGTTTGCATCAGAAAGGTCTTGCCTTGGGCCAGTGACTCAAGGTCTCTCATCTCAGTTTCCTCACCTGGAAAATGGGGTTATCACTGTGTGACATCAGAGAGACAAGTCTATGGGTGCTCTGTGTGTGGCCCCAAGTAGGTGCTCAATAAATGTAAGCCTCTGCTATTATTTAGGAGATGGGTCAAGTCAGTATCAATTTTCCCCACTGGTGTTGTACATGAGTTAAATGAAGAGAGAAGGAATCTGAATCAGGGTCAAAGGTCACAGAGAGATGACCCTAAATATTGTTGTGAAGTTACTCTCTGAGCAATGAATAAAATTAAACTCAGTGGATGGAGCCCACCAACCCCCATGGCTGGTTGGGGAAGCCTGGAAATGCCGCAGTCTAATCAAAAAGATTAAAGCCACAGTAAAGAAAAGAGTAACCAAAGCAATTGTCAGTAGGAACACTGTGTTACAGTAAGTGTCTCTAGAAGGGGAGGGATGGAATTAGCTTGTTTTGGGCAACAGGTCACACTCTTCATCAAGATAAAGGTTGGGGTTACACAGGAATATACTTTTGTCAAAATTCATCAAGTAGTTTCCTTAAGAGGAGTGCATTTCACCGCATATAAATTATACCTAGGAACAACATAAATATACTGAGGAGCTTAGGGTTGAAGTCTACTGATGGTTGCAACTTTGAAATACATAATAAATAAATAAAATGGAATAACGGATGGGCAAAGGCATAGACAGATGAACTGATGTGTGTTAATGAAAAGATAGTAAAATGCTAACTGTGGAATCCAGGTGGTGGGAACATGGGTATTCAGTTTTTGGTAAGCTGGATTAGGAAAATTTTGGGAAAAAACTCGATGTAAGATGATTGAGACTCCCTCATGATCATGGGTGAGGAAGCTTGGAACACTTTGGTTCAACTGAAAGGATTAGAATAAAGAAAACAGTAACCACAGGAATTGCATAGGAAGAAAGAGTTCTTAGAAGGGAATGGGGTCTGCAGGAAATACAGGAAAACAGAACCAAAGCACAGACAAGAACGTGTCCGTGCCAGAGGAATGTCACTGCTTCTTCAGTCTGACCCAGCGCCACAGCCCTCCCCTCCCATCCCATCGCCTTAAGCCCTTGTTTGGGTCTCTCACACCTGGATGAACCACCACACTAGTCCTGCCTCCTCTCCTGGCAGAGACACCACTGACAGAAATAATGGTCAACTCCAGAAATAATGGTAGTTCCAATGATTCTACCTCCTTGCTCAGAAATCTTCAATAGCTCCCACAGCCAATCATAACCTGTCTCCCAAACCTGCCCTCCAAAACCTGTCTCCCAATCAACTCTCTAATCCTCTCTAATCCCATCAGTTGCTCTTGGTTCTGTGCTCCAGGCAACAGGAATTTGCTTTCAAGCACCCCTGGCATTTTTCCACCTCCATTCTTTGGCTCATGTGACTCCTTCTTTCTGGAATATATACCCTCTGCTCACTCTGCAGAAGTCTCAGTTAAAAACACACCTTTGAGGAACTCTCCCGCACTGCTGGTGGGAGTGCAAACTGGTCCAACCACCTTGGAGAGCTGTGTGGAGATTTCTTGACCTACTAAACATAGAGCTTCCACATGATCCAGCAATTCCATTTCCTATTTTACCCAAATGACACAGAAACATTAATTCCAAAGGGCACCTGCACCCCTATGTTTACAGCAGCACTATTTACAATAGCTAAGCTATGGAAACAACCCAAATGCCCAAAAATAGATGACCGGATCAAGAAGATGTGGTACATATACACCATGGAATATTACTCAGCAATCAAAAAAGATAAACACATGCAGTTTGCAGCAACATGGATGGAGCTAGAAGGGATCATGCTCAGCGAAATAAGTCAGAAAGAAAAAGAAAAATACCGGATGGTCTCACTCATAGCAGGAATTGAGAAAACCTAAATAAAAGACCAGGAAAAAGACTAATCAATACAAAGTAAAAATCAAAATCAACAAACAACTATAAACCAGAGACATACTATGTGGGGTGGGGGGAACAGGGCGGGGAGAGAAAGACTAGAATCAAAATAAGGGGGGTGCAATTGTATGGGGAATATAACCATAATGAAAATGCATACATTGTGCAAAGATGAAGAATGATGTAAGAATTATATAAAATAAAATATTAAAAAAAACCCACACCTTTGAAGACAGACTAATCCAGAATCATACCTGGGAAGCCTAAGTACCACTTCTGCTAAGCCAGTTATTTAACTTCTCAGCCTCTGTTTCCTCATCTGTAATTTGGTGCTGAATAAAGTCACTCCAATGAGAGGAGAGAATGAGAAAACCATGAAAAGCAACAAGAAGAGTAGCTCTCCTGAGAAGGTACTCAAAGCGGCAGTTGTTATTTTTAATATCTGGTCCCTATTCATTCTTTTCAGATGTCCCTTCCAGAAAGTTCTCCCTCTGTCAACCTTGTGTCCTGCCTCCTTGAAGCCCTTTCCCGAAGTCTACTTCTGCATTCAGTCCCTCTCTGCTCCTCAAAGGCAGGGACCAGGTCCTGGGTACTTCCACATGTCCTTCAGCACTGAGCACAGCTTATGTAGGACTCCATAAAAGCTTACTGAACCAAATTATTATCTTCCATTCCACAGCAGACAAATGTAATCTTAGCTATGATGATTTTTCTAGCTGTTCATGAGACTATAATGAAGAAAAAGAGTAGGTAGTACTTGAGGGCAAAGCCATATCATTATTATTTTAATATCCAAAACATACCTCACACAACACAGGAAATAGCTGATTTCAGAAACTTCTAGAACAGAAATGTTTAGTTCTAGAGCCATACACCTGAGTTTAGGGAATCACTTTGATTTGCAGGAAACATTGAATGGCATTAAAAATAATGAATGGAAAAATTGTTCCCTTACGGTCAGCTTGCAGAAGGACAACGTGATGCAGAGTCAAGGCCATCCTTTGGGAGTCAATGGTGCTGAGGATCTTGGCAGCTGCGGTCCCCAGCAAAGGCTTTCCATTGTACAGGGTATAGTAGGTCAGCTCCGCTGGGTCCTTGGGTCCTGGCACTCGCTGCATCTTTACCATCTTTCAGAAAGAGAGAGGTCAGGTTTACAGGGACTCTTGCATCCATAAGACGACCACTGGCAATCAGCAGGCTCTCCTGACTGCTGAAGCCTCCGTGGCTAAGTGGAACCACATATGTATTTTAGACATCGATTTTTGTGTACGTCCCTATCACTAGCATCTCAAGAAGCCCCGCTATCGCTGCAAGGGGAAGCAGATAAGGATTAAACATCTGGAAAGAACAGTCTGAGGCTGAAGAAGAAAACGCTGAAATGGTGATGTCTTCCAGCCTCCAGGGAACTCTGGCCTAATTTGAAAATAGGCCTTCACATTAATTCAGGGCATGTTAGGTTATCCTCAAACAAGATTTCTAATTTCAAATCCTGCAAGTGCCAGAGAAAGAAAAAAAATGAACTTAAATGTCTGCCATTCAAATCATCTCCGATAAAAGCAGTACTCAGAAAGTCAAAGTTCATTTTCCAGAATAAGTTTTTTGTTGCTTTTCCTCACTATAAATTATAAATACTTGCCAACGAAAATTTTAAAATACCGAAAAGCAACAAAAAATGAGACAATAAAAAAACCCGTAATCCTTCTGCCACAAATTACTCCTTTCATCTAGGAATATTTGTTTCTATTCTTTGTTTTCTCCATACAAATCTTTTATTTATTAAAACTTACAAAATCATTTATCACACTCCTATATGGTATCATATCTTGCGATTTTCACTTACATCCTTAAGTGACTTTAAATATAACAAAAACATAAACATTAATATCTTTCTACATGGAATTCCAATGAATGCCTAGTAAATTTATCTAGCAAATTCTTTTCACTAAATATTTATACTGTTATAAATTATTATTTATAATTTTCCAGTAGCCTAACAATTGATAATCATTATAAATACATAAAACACAAATTTTAGTGTGTAATGTTCTATTATATGCATGACTCATAAACTTAACTAACCCTTCATTTTTCATATTTAGGATATTATATACACTTTTCACTATTATAATTAACAATTGAAAAACATTACAGTATAATATTTTCCAAACTATATATAACATGTTCATGTTCATGGTTACTAAAAGCTGTTACAAAAATGTTTATAGTAGCATTGTTCAAATAGCAAAAAGAACCCTGAAAATGCAAATGAGTTATTCACACAATGAAATACTATAGAATAATATAAATGAGTAACCTATGACTAGTTGTGTGAATTTTGGTGACTATAAAAACTTAACACAGAAGAATAGAAACAAATCACAGGCTATAAAGTTTTAAAACAACCCAAACCAAGTGATATCCTGTTTTTTGATACACGTGTGGATAAAATCTATACAGAAAATACAGGCATAATTTAATATGAAGTTCAGAAATGCATTCAATTCTGACAGAAAGAAGGGAGTATTTACAATAAGAAAAGACTTCTAGGGTAAGATCAAGGTAATGTTATCACTCTTTGGGTCATGGGTTCTTTGTATTAATGTTCTTTAAGTGCCACATAATTTTACACTCCTTTGTATGTATGCTATACACAGACGTTCAAAACAGATATGATGGCAGTCAAATAAAAAGATTTTAAAATAATCTGATGAGACACTTCACAAAGGAAGATCTCTGAATAGCCAATAAGTATATAAAATGTTCAATGGGAAAATTAAAAATTAAAACCATGAAACACTACTGTCATTTCCCAGCATGGACTGACATTACAAAGTGTTAATGAGAATGTGGAGTACCTGGAATTCCACATCTGGTTGGTGGAAATATAAAATGGTATACTTTGGGGGAAGTTTCTTACAGAACTATATACACTGATCCTATGAACCAGCTTCCAAGCTGCCATGGCCAGTGAGCCCCTGTGCCCAAGGCAACTTAAAGGACCATTTAAAAGACACTCTGAGAAACACTATTCTTCCCCTTTCATCTTTATGTTTATCTTTATCTCCTCGGAATGAACTTCTAGGATTAAGTTGGGGGCCATCTGAAAGATTCTTGTCTGAATTGCTCTTGTCCTCCAGAAAGGACCTACCCATTCAATCAGTTTCCAAGTGCCTATTTCACTCATCCTGAACACTAGACAACACCACATCACCATCTTTGGCTGGTAAAAATGGTATCTGGTGGCCATTAAGACTTGCCTTCCTTTAATTACTAATTAAGTTAAACATTTAAAAATGTCTATTGGTTACATGTATTTCTTCTTGGGGCCTATTTTTCAAATATATCCACTAAAGAAATATATTTAGGGGCCTCCCCAGTGGTGCAAGGGGTTAAGCACCACACTATGAAGCAATCTGCAGCCTCTGCAGTACGAGTTCGATCACCGGCTGGCCAGGGAGCTACCCACATGGCGAAGCAGACTTCTCCTGTCTTGTCCCACTGCTCCCCTCATTAGGGGGAAAAGGATGTCCTACAGCTAATTCCATACAGGCTTTGTGGACTCCACCCCCACTCCAGACCAGAGCCATGAGGACAATGGGAAAGACAAATCCCATCACCACCAAAGGGAAGGTTGCTGGAACCTGAGGGTGGGGTTAAGCAGCCAGGTTTGGTATAAAACCAGACACGTGGGCTTTGTGTGTGTGTGTGGAGGGGGGGTCCCTTTTTTGGCTCTCCACCAGCTCGCAGCGCTCGGCCAGCTCTCAGAGTGCCTTTGGGTTTCCAGGTCAGCGGATCGGGTAGGACTCATTAAAGACTTTATTTCCCTATTTTCTCCCTGAGTTGTACATTTCCTCATTTCCCTTTCCCTTATAAATAAGCCTTTTATTAACCTTTTGTGTGTGCCTGTAGTGGAGTATTAATAAGTCCCTTTTAAGCGCATGGGTGAGGACCCACAGCCAGGCAACCCGTTTTATATCGGGGCTGCTCCATAACACCCTCAGCAGTGTATTTCAGTCAGTCTGCCTGTTCTGTTCCCCACTCTGTCTCTGGTGAATCCTCTCACCTCCCGCATCTCTGGCCTGTACCCCAGCTCTTGTATGCATAAATAAATAAATCTTTAAAAAAAAAGATATATCTTCAAATGTTGGACATCTAAATCCCTATATTCATGGAGTTGGCTCATCTTTTAAAACAGAACCCCAAAGAAAGACCTCTAGGTAGAAGGATGATGTAAGCGAAATAAAGTGAATTTTAGTTGGGAAACTCAGGCATGTTATTCATGTTCTTCATGGCAGAGGAAATGAGGAAAGTGTTAATACAACCAGATAGAAGGATGTGAGCATTCAAATATCTAATAATTTCACTCAATTTCAATTCAATAGCAAAACCTTATAAATAAGACTTCTCTAAGGGTGATGTTAGAAGGTGATCGACAGCCTCTGTAACTTATTTTACAGAAAGGAACCCCTACTTGCTACACTCAGACTTTCTGGGGGCCAAGCACACTGAATACTCAGAGGGAACCAGGCAGAAGACCTCTCACTGGGCCCTTGAGGACCCAGAGAATGTGTCAGGTTTCTTAAGTTTACTAATAATACCAGGTTCGTCAGGTGGCTCTTTCTTGCCCTTCCGCTGAGGCAAATCCCATTTCATTGCCTTCAGCCTCAGGCACTTCCTTTCTGTTATTTGGAGAAATGTGAATTATGGGGCCCACAGGAACCCCATAGAGAAGAAAGGCGCATGATTTACCTTTTGACAAGGCTATCACAGACCACAAAGAGTTTTGGAATCAAAGTAACACCCACTTTGACAAGGGAACAACTTCACCAGCTGAATGGGGGACCCAGAGTTCCCCTCAGGCAAGTGTGTTCCGGAAGATGGGTTGTTTGCATTTTCAAGATTGCCTGGGGAAGTGATCTGCAGACAGAGGGTGGTAATGTCTGTAATTTCCTATAAAAACATTTCTTCTTGGACTGTGAGTCCACACATGTGTGTCTGGGGTAAGTTACACCCTAGATGTGGCCAATTACCCGTCAGAAGTTCACACTCCAGGGGCAGTGGGCTAGATTCCAGCTGGGACACCACACTCAGGAGGCAGCTTCCGGTGCACTTCTGTAATCTGGTATCTTGCTCTACCTAGCTTTGTAAATTAGCATAACAAATGTTAGGAAAATGCTCTCTTTTAATGAAACTGATGGTATTCCAGATATGTGGACTGGTTGGGACCTGCTACAGACACTCCCATTCTTGCTGGAGCTGGATTAAGGCCCTGGAGAAGCTGAGTCTCTACCTTGGGGATGGCCACTGTCTCTGTGGGTTCCCTCAGCAGCAGAGTCAGGAGAGTTGAGGGCTGAGAGTTGACTTGGGAAGTAAAAAGTACTGTCAGGAGTGTGAGGAATGGAGCTAACAAGGAGTGTATTATTCCCAGTTACCACAGCAGGTAGCTAAAGCTTAATTCTATGGGGAAGTTCCAGAAATGATCTAAAACATACATTTCAGAATTCTCCTAGCCAAGAGGCAAGAGAGGTATTTATAGCTCTGCTTCTGGTTAATCCCAGACATTTCCTATCAGCCATGGTGTGGGCAGAGCGGGTTCTGACACCTCAAGAGCAGACAGCCATGGATTCAGGGGTTGGCTGTTGGAATTGGGATTGGCATTGAACTAAATGATAAGTGGGGGGGCCTCCCTGGTAGCGCAGTGGTTGAGCGCTGGGCTGCGAAGCTGCCCACAGCCTCTGCAGCGCAGGTTCGATCCCCAGCCACTGGCAAGTGTCCCACATGGAGCAACAGACCTTTCCTGCAGTGCCCCCTGCTCCCCTCAGCAGTGTGTTTCGTCCATCTGCCTGTTCTGTTCCCGGCTCTGGCTCTGGTGAATTCTCTCACCCTCCTGCGATTCTGACTGTAGCCAGTGCTTGTATAAATAAATAAATCTTAAAAAAAATAAATGAAATAAATGATACAGGGTCTGGGCAGAGCACCAGTAGTGTCTGCTACAGCTCCCTCATCTAAATCCCCCTGTGGCTGTGTGTCCAGGATAAACTTGGAGGGACTCAACAAGAATAGCAAAATCTGGCATCTGGAACATTGACAGCTACATCTCCATTCATGGCTGCAGAGAGAGGCCCGAAGGCACCAAGAGCTGGGGCTTCATCCTACCAGACAGGTTGATGAGCAATTTGTGCTTGTTTATTAAAAACCTTTTGTTTAATAAATATCTGCACATGTGCTGAATCTGTTCCAACGCCTCTTTTCCTTACATTCTATCAATAGTAGTGAGACAGGCAGGGGAGCAATGTGCACCCTCCTTCATGATTTTGATGAAATCCCCCAAAACCTATGAGCATATCCCAAAATCTATCAGCAGCATTGACTACACACCCCAGGCAGTTTGCAGCATGGCTGCTGCTCTGTGCTTACCATGACTGAGTCTCAGGAAGCATGCTCCCCACATTGATTAGAAGACCCCAGGGGTTTCACACACACCTACCTGCACCGTGTAGCTTCCCAGGGTGGTGGCCCGCTTAAATCGCCGGCCTTGTTGCTGGGACATCATGAAGAGCTGGGCCAGGCGCTGCTCCATGACCCGGGCAAAGCTCTGGTTGTGCAAGCCCACCAGCGAATTGTCCACGCCCTGCAGCACTGTGAACACAGAAGCAGAGGAGCTGCTCAGAGGACACTCCTTGAGGACACAGTATCCACCACTGTCGCCAGCCCCACCCTAGGACCATGGGCCCATGAGGGGTTGGCCAGCCTTACGTCACTTTCCCCTCACAGCAGCCTGAGTGAGGACACACACTCCATACGTTATAGATGCTAAAAATTTAAGAGTCTCCGCTAGTAAGAGGCAAAATCAGGGTTCAAACTCAAACTTGTTCAACTCCATGGCCTGGACTGCCTTCCATGAGTTGTGACGTGATCTAACAATGTGGGGTCAAGTCAAACCTCCTTTTACATGGTTGTCTCACTGGAAATACAGTACACCTGCAGATATGGCTCAGGGGCTTTTTGCTGGTACCCACTCAGAAGCCTTGGCTTCGGGTTTCTCGTTTTAGTTTTCCTTCTCAGCAGCTTTGCTGAGGAATCTGAGCTCAGTCCCTCATACCTCGGCAAGCCACCCTGTTCAGTGTCCTGGTCTCTCCCCCTCTGTGGGGTCCTTTGGGGACCCACCTCTAAAGACACCCAGGTCTTGGGGCCTCCCTAGTGGCACAAGGGGTTAAGTGTCAGCACTCTAAAGCAATCTGTAGCTACTGTAGCACGAATTAGAACCCCAGCCAGGGAGGTGACCCACATGGTGCAGCAGACCTCTCCTGGCTCACCTGCTGCTCCCCTCAGCAGTGTATTTCAGTCAGTCCACCTGTTCTGCTCCCCACTCGGTCTCTGGTGAATCCTCTCACCCCTTGCACCTCTGGCCTGTACCCCAGCTCTTGTATGCACAGATAAATGAATCTTAAAATAAGACGCCCAGGTCTTTCCCATGTCACTAGATGGCAGGAGAAAAAGCTGAGAAGGCAGCTACTAAATAAGAAACCTAAAGCCAACAAAGTTGATGCTGGTGGCGAGGTCAAGAAGGCCCCTTGCAAAACCCCTAAAAAGGGGAAGCCCCACTGCAGCAGAAACCCCATTCTACTCAGAGGAATGGGCAGATATTCCTGATGTGCTATGTATCCCAGACAGGCCATGTACAAGAGGAAGTTCTCAGCAACTAAATCCAGGATTGAAAAGAAAAAGAAGGGTCTCGCTACTGTCACTAAACCAGTTGTTGCTGAAAGGATGGCAGCACCAAGTGGTTAAATGTCACAGGATGTCTGTATTTTATCCTATTGACGATCCACCTCAACAACTGTTCAGCCACAGCAAAAAACCCTTCTGTTAGCTTGTGAGAAAAGTGCGAACCAACATCACTCCTGGGACAACCCTGGCCTTCCTAACAGGGCGTCACAGAGGCAGGAGAAAGCTCCAGGCTTTCCTGGAGCAGCTGGGCAGTGGCTTCCTACTTGGGACTGGACCTCTGTCCCTCAAAGGAGCTCCTCCACGTAGGACACATCAGAAATGTGCCATCGCCACCTCTAGCAACAATGGAATCAGTGATGTGAAGTTCCCAAACCACCTCCCTGGAGCTGACTTCAAGAAGGCGGCGCCTCATCAGCCACAGCACCAGGGAGGCGAGATCTTCCACACAGGAGACAGGCGAGATGACACAGCAGTGCGAGGCTGATCAGACAGAAGTGGACTCACACATTCTGCCAAAAATCAAAGCTGGCCCCCAATTCTCGAGCTACCTTGGCTCTGTTTGCTCTCGCTGTTGGAATTTACCCTCACAAATTGGTGTTCTACATTTCCTGCAAAGAATCTAATTAAATAATGAAAAAAAAAATAAAGATAGTCAGGGTCTCCAGGGGGCTCTCCCATTTGAGAGTAGGACAGTGCAATGGAAAGAGGGAACTGGCACTCAGGGCCAGCTCTTGCCAGTCATGGTATTTTCAGCAAACTGGTTGTCTTTGAGTCCAAGTGCTTTTCTGGCAAGAGGCAAAAGGAGGTCTACATCGGAGGGAACACATTGCTAAGGGGCTCTAAGGCTGAAAAGAGGTAAATGCATGAAGCAGCTTAGCACAGTGCCTGGTTCATGGAAGGTAAATGGAATGAAATCCTTCCCTGCCCGCCCTCCCTACCGCTGGGCTCCATCTACACCCGGGGGTGTCTATAACCAAGAGCTAAGTCATTAATGAAGGGGCTGCAGGCCAGAAAACATTGTCAAATCCACCCATCACACTTTTTAAAAGATATCTCTGAAGCAAATAAAAAGGGTAGAAAGAAATGAAAACACAATAGAATCATCCAAAAGTCATTAAAATTTTTCTTGCTCTCCTTTCTTCTAAACATTCATTGCAAGTCTGATAAATAATCTTAATGTCACAATAATCAGAGATCTGATGCTGAATCTTGAGCCTAAAGAATTTGTAAAATGTATTTTTTAATCTTGACATCAAGGTAGAAACCATGTAGGAATAATGTGTTTTTTGAATGCCTCAAAATAATTTAAAAAGGAAGCATGGAGAAGGAAGGAAGGGGAGTTTAGTAACTCTAGAGTCACCCTAGAATTGTCTGGCCACTTAGCATGGGGATGATGGCCTTTTTCTGTCTACTCCAAAATTCCAGTCCTTCCTCCAAGTCCCTTGGGAAGCACACTTCGCCCCAAACACACAAATACTTCCTCCAAACTAAAATCAAAAAAGGTTACCAACAATTCTCATCTTCTTAAAGATGGTGAAGCTTACATGGGTTGGGCATGTAATACAAGATTTTCCATTTAAGAGTCTCTGTATCACAACCCTCCATGGGCCACTAATTCCACTGTCTACCGGGATATGGAGATAACTCGGATACAAAGAACAGGTGTTACCATCACATTCTACACGGGGCCAGATCAAGCCAATGATGACAAGATGTTAAACAGATCAAGGCAGAAATAAAACCCACAGCTGAGTCTCAGAATTACTTCTTTTAAACCATAAATGCCAAATAATCCCCCTGGAGGGCATAATGCAGCTCTCTTTCTAGAGCCTAAGAGGGACTTGCAGCTTATCTCTCAGCCCTGCAAAGAAAGACAAAGCGCTCCCGCACTGTTCCCACTGTGGCAGGTCCCTGAGAGGCCCTGGGGAGCCCCCGTGACAGTGTCAGGCTGAGGAAAGGCCAGCAGACCTCCTGCCCTCAGACAGGAGAGCCCGTGATCCTGCTGGTTCAAAGATGCCCCTCAAGTAAAATGACAGAACCGGCTGCCGAAGGATCACTTTCAAGTTGTCCTCTCACAATCACCAGACAAGAGTGAGGGGGCACACAGGACAGTTAAGGGGTGTCATCATGTTTATGTATGGGCTCCCAGAGGTGACTCAAGGGCAAGCATCAAAGAAAGGGAATGAGGCAAAGCCTCCGAGTGATGGAAAGGTCCCAGAAATAGGCAGCAGTGATGGTTGTGCAACACTGTGAATGTACTTAAGGCTGCTGAATCGTACACTTAAAAATGGTGAAAGTAGTAACTTTAGTGTTATGTGTATTGAACCACAATTTTTAAAATTGACAGAGAGAAAAAAAAACCTCCAGGGAAGTTCAGGAGGCCGAGAGAACCACCCATGGAGGTGCAGCACCTCCGTTTGCAAAGAGAATGTGGCCTTAGAAAGCAGCTGGCGAAGAGCTGGCAGTTGGAGCCAGGAGCCTAGGTGTGAACCCTGGCGCCCCTGTACTGAGAGTCCTTAGGCAAGTCTCTTAGACCCACTGGGCCCTGCTTCATCTGAAAACTTGGGGATCATCACTGACTCCTGACTGTGTCATTTTGAAGAACAGACCACTCCCTTTCAAAGCGCTCCAAGCATAGTTCTACGAGGCACTGGAGAGGATGCCCATACATGGAGGCTGCGGCTTTGGTTCAAATGTGCCTCCTCCTCTGCTAGACTCATCCTCACCAGAGCAAGAAATACAGGGGAAAACAGAGTGAGCATTTTGGCTCCTCCAGTTCCAGGATTATGGCTCCTCCCCATCCCTGGAGCAGGGCAACAGGCCACCCTCTGGCTCCTGGCCCTCTCCACCCACGTGGGTGGGAGTAGAAAGGGGTGTGCACCCACATCTCTCACAGTGACACAGGGCGGCAGGGGAGCTTGGACCCTGGCGTGGGTGCCCAGGGAGACAGCAGCTTCTCGGCCCATCAGCCCGGGCCCTGGCTGGCCCCATCAGCCCCTCTGACTCAGCTTAGAGGAGGCGGGCAAGTCTCCAGCTGTGCTCAAAGCTTTGTCCAGACTCAGATTTACATTACTTATTCCTTCTCCATGTACGACTCCACTGGGCTCCAAAATTCCAAGGCTCAGGTCTGGTTCAGCCTTCTGTACTTGAGCTAAATTACTTTATTCCTGGTTGAACCCACATGTGCAGAGCAGAAAGAATCTTAAATATTCAGCTGTCTTCTCATTCAAAAGCTGAGAGCATGATGCCAGTGGGCCTGGGTGACTTGCCCAAGGCCCCAGCAGGTTGGTAAACAGCAACACTGATGCCAGAAGAAATGCTGAGACCACTACGCCTAGCATATTGTGACTCTGGTGGGTGACATTAAGAAAGATGGACAAACCTGACACGGCTCTCACTTCTGACAGGCAGCAGTATTAAGCCTGTACACCCTCTCCTGCCTCGTATACACAAGTCTGACTGTAGGATCCGAGGCCAGCAGGGTGGGCCCTGTGTTCTCTGTAAAAAGGATGCAGGAGTCGCCCTGATTTTCCACCATAGAGGGACCATACTCTGGGATGGGAGACGTGTCCAGGTACAAAGCTGTATTTCATAAAAGGTTGATTGTAAAGCAAATGAAAAAGATGTCAGGTTTTTATAATACAAATTATAGAACGGAGGTCACTCCAAATGTTCTTGGGTGACAGTGATGAGAATATAGGGGACCTGTGATGGCTGTCTGGGGTCGGGGGTGTCGGGGAGGCAGGGTGGTTCCTCAAGGGGCTGTGGGTTTGAACAAGATAACGAAACCATCTTCATGTTTCAGTTCCCGATCTCCTACCCCTTCTGTAAATGAAGGTGAAAGGTTGGTGGGGACTACCCACAGGTTCAGAAGGTGGTCAAGAGCCAAAGACAAGACAAGAGAGTCACTGGGAGACCTGGTGCCAGCCCCTAAGTGTTGGTGTAAGGAGCAAACTCTGAGCACATGAACGAGGTCCTGAGAGAACTGCACCCCGAGGATTCTATGTACGCCACATCCACTTCCATGCTGGAGTGATCTCAGGAGCCCACAACTATAATCCCAGCACGCCCTGATTCTGACCTCCTGAGTGACAGGTCCCTGGCAACTAGGGGTGGAGTAAGCCTGGGATGTTACTGAACATATGAATGCTTGAGCTCTCTCGCTTCTGCAGCCTGATTTGCACCTGGTACTGCTGGGAAGGAGATTCGTAGAGACACATGGAACATGTACCTGGAAGAGACACGTGGGTGAGAAACATGGGGAGGCAGGTCCCTATGGGGTGGCAGCTCCTGGTCCTTGGCAGACAATGGCAGCAGTTGTCCTGACCTGATGGTGGATTATTTGGCACATTTTGAATTCTGAATCTCTCCTTCAATCCCATTTCTTCGAGACCTTTCTTGTGGCTCCCAACCAAAAAGTACCTTAGACTTGTGGCAAGTGCTGAGGCCTCAGCATGCTGCTTTGGGCTGATCCTGCTTGGCTGGGCATATGCCCACCAAGGGGATGGGTAATTTGAAGAATTTTGTTGGAAAACTAATATCCTTTCTTGTCTCTTCTCACTAGTTATGCTAATTCTGTTAAAGACCTTTCATACTAAGAGTCTGCTTCCTTTGCCTTTGAGGGGCAAATGGCTAAACCTAACCCTTGTAGAGCCTGTACCCCTTTACAGTTTGGGGTCCATAGGTGCTCCTTAGTTGCATGCTCTAATTCAAGCACTGATCAACTGACCCAACTAGCCAGGGGCACAGTGAGTGATAGAGGCCACTGTTCATTCTGATGACCAACAGCCATAAGAGCAACAGCAAAAGAGGATGAGCGAGCAGGGGCTTATATCCCAAAGAAACCTTGAAAACAAGACCACAGGTGGTGCTCTTCATTAAGGTTATATCACAAAAATAGAGGCAGGGAAAGGCACAGGCAAATGAGAGGAGGAGGAAAGGTCAAGGACATTTGTGCCACCATTTAATGTAAATCTGCAAGTTAATAGAAGGGGGAGGTTTGCAAGTTAAAAAAATAAAATAAAAAGCAGCGCTCCTTGTAGAGGAAGCATGGTTTGTCAAGGTTACATAACCTACTGGCTTCAAAACTATGTTGCTGGGTTAGCGTTTGTCTCTCTCTTGGGCATCGACTCTAATGGTTTTTTCTTTTTCACTCTTTAAACACATTTCTTTAGTTTGCCTTCTTAGCTTGTAAAATAATCTCTGCCTATCCATGCCTCCACCGGCGAGAAAGAAATGCAATTTTCTGCAGTTTAGGAGAGGCCTTCAGCAGGCTTTATCCAGCAAGGCAGTGTGTACTTCTGAGCTGGTATTTTAGGCAACAGCCCATCAACTGCTTGTTTGGGACAGCGAGGCAGGGAGGAGCCGGGAGAGGGAGGAAGGGAGGTTTGAGATGGGCCTGCTTGCACAGCCACATCCGCCAAGACTTGCAGGATCTTCCTCCCTCCTTATTACTGGCAGAATTGTGTGCCCCCCAAATTCACATGTTGCTATCCCAACCCCCAGTTGGATAGGAAAGGTAAGAATATGACTGTATTTAGAGATGAGGCCTTTAAAGAGGTAGTTAAGGTGAAATGAGGTCATTAAGATGGCCCTAATCCCATCTGACCATGTCCTAAGGAGAGAAAATTAGGACACAGATACACTCAGGGAAGACCAAGGAAGGCACAGAGGAAGATGGCCATCTACAAGGGAAGGAGAGAGGCCTCCCTCAGAAGAAACCAGTCCTGCCAACACTTTGACATCAGATTTCCAGCCTGCAAGGAAATAAACTCTGCTTGTTTAAACCACCTGGGCTATAGGACTTTGCGAGGGCAGCCCCAGCAGACCAGTGCCCTCCCCCTGGCGTCCTCCTGCCCCTCCCCTTTCTGTATGGGCTGGTCACTTTTTCCCCTTTAAATATCTGTCCTCTCTCAGTTCCCCACCCCTGCTTCTCTAATTTTCAGAGCTACTGTCTGGCTTTTGAAAAACACAAACAAGAACTTTTTTTTTTTTTGCTGTTTCACAAAGCTCTGCTGAGAAATGTCAAGGGGAAAAAAAAGAAAATGCCACCAAAACAGCCTTCTACTTCCATCCGCCCTCACTGTCAGGACACGCCTGGACTCCGCCAGAGCTAGTGTGGGTGTGGGACTCGTGCCAGGTTCAAGGAAAAAAGTGCATGCCTGGCATTCCTCTGACTTTCATTTGGATTTTGCAGGGCAGTGCAGAAAGGCCTACCATCTGTAACAGACAAATGACCACCCATGTGACTATGCCCTGGACGTCCACAGGTTAACACTGTCACCTCCTACAAATTGTCCCACCTTTGGCAGAGAGGAAGTCACTGGGTGGGACCAACAAGGTACCTGGTTTGAACTGTTTATTAAATATTCATCTTCATTGTGATGTCTTTCCTCATCTCAATTTACTGCACCCACTTCAGTCCCATGGAAGTAACACCTTGACTTAGAATACAGATGAAAGAAAAGATGCCAAGCATGCACTTCCAAAAAAAACCAACAACCTGAGAGAGTAAAAGGGGCAATGTTATAAGAGATTACCTGTAATGACCCAGTAGTCTCTGGTTGTTTCTGATATATCAAGGTTGGGATATTCCAGCGCTGAAACAAACAAAAAGCACACCAAATTACTTCCATGGCTTTTGTATGCAGACACTGTTCAGGGAAATGAAGACAGGTGACACAGATTCGGGCCACTAAATCCTGCTCCGTCATTCTTGGGAACTCTGGGATATGCGGTCCAAAATGACACAGACAACTCACTCAGTAAAGAGCTAACTTGCAAACGAAGAGTTTTCTAGAGTTTTATGGGCTTCTGCTCTTTCAGATTTTCCATCAAAATCTTAAGTGGAATATCTTCATGAACCTATCTTAACTATAAAGCTTCCCCTTTAAAAACTATCCAAGCATCACTAACATTTTTAGGACTGATTATCGCTTAAATGGATATTCCAGTATCAAGGGCTGAGTTTAGTAGTCAAATGTTACTTGTAACAAATGGTCTTATTTCTTTACAGGTATGGTAGACATCAGAGTTAATCTAAGAAAAGGGTTCAGCACAGTGCCTGGTGCATAGGAGGTATACAATCAAGTTTACTTATTTAATCAGAATATCAAGATAATGAAGGAAAGTAAATTCTTCACATGCTGTCATATGACATAATGCATTCTTTATGACATTAACTTTTCTATAAAGTCCTAAGTCATCTTTCCTTCATGGAAATTCACAAAAGCTGGCTATTTAGCAAACATTCAAAGAAAATTCAAAATGACTATTATATGTTAAATAAGTACACACTTATTTAACTATTATGCTATATGTTTGTAAGTACGCACACACGTTATCACATTGATTTACATCAAAAGCAGCCACAGAAACAATTTTGCTAATATGTTTTTTTTTTTTTTAAATTTGCCTAGTGACCTTAAGAATTGTGACAATGATTAAATTTTAGACCACAAATCTTTACTTCCCCTTTGGCCACCAAGTAAGTGTTTGAGTACAAAATGTAGGCTGCATCGTCTTCAAAGTCTACGCCTGCTGCATTGTAATGAGGATTATATAACCGAAGCATTGGAGGAAGATGAGGCCACAAGACTACGGGGACTTCATCAAGTGAAGTCACGATGCTGATTGCAAATGAGTTGCATTATGTTAGCTATCGGCAGGGCGAGGTCTGAAGCCTGGGAGCACTTGCTGATGGCAGGAATATGGGAAACCATAGCAACCAGATTGCTGGGAGCACAAATGCCCTGCCAGGCAGTTATTGCAAACTCAGAAGGTAGACTGCTTGGGTTCAAATTCCAGGTTCCAGGTCTCACAGGCTATGTGGGAATAGGCATCTGATTAAATCTCTTAGAGCTTCAGGTTTCTCCTCTGCAAAATAGGACTAATTTTGTACCTACCTGATAGGGCTATCAAGAGGATTAAATGAGAAAAGAGGTTAAGTGAAGCACAAAGGGACCCCACAGTGCTTTTTTTCAACATGCAATCAATTCACTCGCCATTTATCACGTTTTGATTTATTGTTGCATGACGAGAGTTAGTATGCAGCCTGGCATGATAGATAGGTGTGTTTGCTAAATGGTGAAAGGCCTCTGGGAAAAATGATAGAAGCCCCGGGTGATGTTCTCATACTCACGTTCAGCAATGGTGAGCGGAGGGTAGGTGAGGTAGAACCCCACCAGCTCAGCTGAGAGCTGGCGGAGAAGGCTGCTGGCAACCGTGCCGTTGAGGAAGGAGCTCCGATTGCCCACCACGTACACCAAGGTGACTGTCTGGGAGGCGTTGGATGTAGCCACAATCTGAATTGACACAGGAGGAAAGGGGAGGGAGACATGCCAAATAAGATGAGGGTCTGTTTCATGGAGGCCGTGGGAGAAGTTTAAGCAGAAGTTGAGGGTAGGAATGAGAGGGAGGTGGGAAAGAGCAAGGAAGAGACAAGAATAACAATAGTCATCATTTTCCAATTGCTACATGCCAGGCATTGAGCTAAGGACACGTTATTGCATTTAATCCTGACCACAGCCCTATGAGGAAGATCCGGTTATGATCCCATTTACAAATGAGGAAACTGAGGCCCAGAATAATCAAGGGACTTGTCCAAGGTATAAGTGATGGAGCCAGGATCCAAACCCAGTCTGACTGTAGATTTTAACCACTAGTGTGTGTATCTCTTCTAGGAGTTAAACTGTCTTAAGTTACTTTCATGGCTCTGAAAAATACAAAAGAGCAGAGAAATAATAAATTTAAGGAGGGCTTAACTGCTCAGATGGAGAATGCCCAAGTCAAAGTCAGGGAATGTTTAAGTTGAAAAGACAGAGGAGGTACACGGTTGATCACTACCCTAGTAATGAACGGAGTAACAGAACCTGGTTATGCAAGGAATTCAGAAATATAAATTAGATTCTTTGGAGATCTATTACATTCCCTTGTGGCCCATTAATTCAACATAGGCTATGTAAATATTACTATGAGATAGTGTGACATTCTTCTAGCATTTGGTCTAAGTCAGCTTTTTAGTTACTGGGAAATGATGTTTTGGGAATCAACATACGGGCAAAAATATCCCAGAGTTGAGATTCGAAAAATAGGTGCAGCTATTCAATGTTGTTAGGCAGCCTTTGTTGGGTTCTGTGCTGGGTGTCTACCCCTTTCTCCTCGAGATCCATTCCCTACCCTCATCTCATCCTGCTCAGGGCCCTCACAGCAGGATGTGGACCTGGTGGGTTCCTTTGCCCTCTGACATCAGCTAAAGGGATCTTGGGAAGGATCTGAGAAAGAAGAAGGTGTCAAGAAGAGAACTTCAGGAAGAAATCATGTAAGCACCCGGATCCAGTTGTACCTGAAGTAAATAAGCTATAAACCTTTCAGTTACATGAGTCAATCACTACCTCTTTTTGCTTAAGCCTTGTTGCTTGGATTCTACCACTTGCCATCAGAAAGTCCTAATTAAGTCTATGGTAATCTAGCCCCTGATATCAATGCTATACAAGTAAAAAATATATAAATAATATCACACACATTTGTGCCCCACAAATTATATTAAATGCATCAAAATGCAAAGTTATTCTTTATAAAATCAGATCCTGGAAAAACAGGGGCCTAGAGTATCACTAAATCCGGGCAACAATTTAGCTTTGGGCTTCCTGTCACACAAATCAAGAAGTAAATTCACCACATTATCTATTTCAACAGATTCTGATATGTTCAAGAGCACCTAACATTTATTTAGATGCAATTTTTGAATTTCCATTTGCAGTCATTTCCAAGGAAGATTTGTTACTTGCTTCCCAAAATTTCATCTCATGGCTCATGACCATTGAGCCATACCATAAAATAGGCTTCTTAAAGCCAAAGGCAATTATTTATCTTGGTGTTCCTCCCTGTGTCTAATAAATAGCAGACACTTAATAAGTCTGTTTTCTGAATACAATTAGAGTATGCTCCGCTGCCACACTAGACTCATACACCTATGACAGTCACAAATCCAATAAGAAAAACATCTCCCATGAAAGAACTGAGTCATACTCCTTACATAAATCTTACATCTGCAATGCTTTTTTAGATCTTGGTCTAATATAAACCAAGTCATAATGAGATACTTCCATGTACCCTCTGGATGACTCTAGAAAAGGAAAATTGCCATCATAGTCAAATTATATGCTTTCTACATCATGTGTTGGCTTTGCTGATAATTCACTGACATTAAATTTCAACTTCAAAACCACTGGGTTTAACTGCAAAAGCTTTAGTTCAGTAAAAACAGAGTCGCTGGGTAGTACAGTGAGAGAAATTTGGGGGCTGGGTGGATATCCAGTAGTCTGTCTTTAGTGAGATGTTATCTCTATCACTGTACAGGCTGGAACTGAGAAAGGCCTTTGGTAGCATATCTAGTATAAATCCAGCACACATTATACCAGGAGTAGGAGTTGCCTGGGAAAGAATTCATGTGTCTACCAAAAATTGCATCAAGGATCCCATTTTTACACTGCACTGATACAGACATTGCACAGTAGATAAGACAACGGGGCTTTGGTTCAAATCTTTATTCCATTCTTTACCAACTTTGTGACTTTCTGGAAATTTCTTGGGCTCTTTCTGAGTTTCCTCTGTGAAATGGCAATAATTATACCTCAGGAGGCTGTCTTGAGTATTATGTAGCAAAACATTGGTAAAACCCTTAGCACAGTTTCTGGCACATAGTAAGCCCTAAATACAAAATGTGTGTATTTTAACTAAGATGACTGCTCATGTGGCTGTCTGAAAAATAATTCAGTGCAAATCACAGACAAGGCAAATCTTGATGTGTTAGCTATTTAGTATGGATTCATTTTTACATAGACATTTGGCATCTCTTCTATAGTATACCTAGCTCCATTTTTAAAAATGATCCAAGTATTGGGCAGACCCTGGAAACTTCACATGGGAAAACAAATATAAATCCCAAATCACAGCAGGTACATAGCAACACGGCATCCCTCCTGTCACGGCCACACCCCAGACATCCTCATCATCTGAGGCCAGACTCCACTCAGTGGATCCAGACTCATGCTCTACCATGTGCCCAAAGTACAAAGGTACATTTACACCAAGTGGCTTTGACATGGGAGACTAAGAGTCTTGCCAGTTTGTGCACTGGGCTGATCTCTGTCAATCACACAGTGGAAGCACCCTTCTGCTTACCTGGATAGTCAGATTGCTTTTGGTATTCAGGACTTTCCTCTCAGCATCCTGGAAGGCCTTCTGCAGCCTCTGCTCCATTGTCTGAGCAAACTTGCAGGATTGGATATTATCAGATTGGCTCACAAACTGCAGCACTAAAATGAGAGTCATAAATCAGTGCTCACCACACCTCTGCATCTCAGTCCCTTGGACTTACTGGCAGGCATGATATAAAACAGCATGATTTTACATCAGAGAAATTAGTCAAATAAAGATAAACATGGTTTGGCTGTAGTTTTGAAAGTAGCTCCTAACATGGTTAATATCAACAGAAAAATTAAAAGCATTATTGCACCAGAGATCCCCTCCAGTGCAAGGGTTTGTGATTTTGTTTGAATGGAACAGGCAGACTTCTGCTCTAAGATGGACAAAAAAATACCCTGCAAGAAATCATGCCTCCTATTTCTTTGGAGGGGGAAAAATAATCAACCAACTCAATTACTAAGTTGATAGTCTTTCAATTTCAACAGTTTCCCCACTCTCATAGTTCACAAAAAACAACAGCAGAATCACCACAGAGGTTGAATGAAAGAAAGATGCTGAGGCCTGAGGCTGGAGATTCTAATCCAGAAGCATCTGGAACTGCTGCTCCAAAGCACAGATTGTACAGAGCTTAAACTCTTATCAGTGTTCAATGGTAATAGAGAAAACCATTAAAATTGCAGTGTTTGGTGCTCATATGTACTAATTATATAAATTGGGAAGAAAGGCTCCAATTGAAGGAAGATTTCTAGTAACTCCAGGGTTGGCTAAGTATGGGCTGATGTGTAGGGAACCTGAATATTTGATTAGGAAAGACCTTTGAGGAAAGTGCACAGGGACTTTAGGAAATGCCAGAATAGCAAGCAATGGGGATTCTATTTTTATAAAGTACCATTGTTTACCATTGTTTACCATTGTGACTATTTAAGCCATACAGGATTTCTCTCCTTACCTGTGGTCATCATCACTCTCCCACCATCAAAGCACCCATAATCCTCTGCCACCCATTTGGCAATGGGGTTTTTCAACAGGTATTCTTTTGGTACTGCCCAAGAACAGGAACACTTTCTTTCTTTCACTATTTTTATTTTTATATTTTTTACATGATTGTTCATGCTCCTCTCAGGTATAATCCCCACAAAATTCGCACCACCATGACACCATGAACCATCACCATAGTCTCTTGTGCTCTTCCCTGCCGTTTCGATCCCTCTCCCTCCCACTCCCCAGTCTGAGTGACTTGCCTGTTTTTAGCTGGAAGGAGCCAGCAGGCTGGGGATTCCAAGGGGAGGCTAGGACTGCCACAGACTGCAAGTTTGGGGTATGCTGCTTCAGATCTGCAGTGACGTTGCTGACCCCATAAACAGCCAGCATTTCGATCACTACGGCAGGCAAGTACACCAGCCTCCCTCTGGTAGCATAATACCCAACCGTGACATTATGAGAATGTTCCAGAATGTCCACCTACAAAACAAATGGACCCACAGAACTTAGTGTTTATTTCCACAGTATTTTAAGTTCTTCTCAGTGTTTCTCAAGACCACAACTGTTACTTAGTTTCATGGGGGAATAGGAAGCTCTCATCCAACACATATATAACAATCCTATAAAGCATACATGGATTGGAAAGTCTCAAAATACCAGAATACATCAAAATTTACATCAAACCTAAGTGGAATAGAATTAAATCTGTGAGGTTTTGTTTATGGGTTTTTGGTATTTTTATGTTTTAAATGCCTCAGTATAATCCTGTGAACACTAGTTATCAACTAAGAAGGCAGACAGGATCCTCCCTGGTGGCACAAGGGGTTAAGACACAATCTATGAAGCTATCCGCAGCATGAGTTCGATCCCCGGCCAGGGAGCTACATGGCGCAGCAGACCTCTCCTGACTTGCCTGCTGCTCCCCTCAGCAGTGTATTTCAGTCAATCTGCCTTTTCTGTTCCCCACTCTGTTTCTGGTAAATCCTCTCACTCCCCACACCTCTGGCCTGTACCCCAGTTCTTGTATGCATAAATAAATCTTTAAAAATAAAAAAAAAGAAGGCAGACAGGAGATATCCAGGAAATGGAATCATGGGGGAAACAGCTTTATTATATTTCTCATCATTTGTGAAAATTAATAGGAATAAATGATAAACTGGGGGCACATTCAGAACAAGGGTCACTTAGGAAATTAGGTGAATTCCTCTCTTTAGAAGCTGAGATAAGAATCATTCCAACCTGAAGCAATCATTCTTGCTTCTAAGCTGATTCAAGATCAAGATGGGGATAGGCCATGAAGCATCTCTCTTACCACTGGGCCCTGACATTCTCTCTTACAACTGATGATCTGAGCTCCTTCTGGTTCAGTTAATGATCTTGACACTTTAGATTTTATTCTTTTTTTGTTTTGTTTTGCTTTCTTGGTGTTTCATATTAATGGTTCAGGTGTTTTTAACACCTATCCTTGGTGCTTTCCTCCCATATTTTTGCATTGCCATCAGTAGTGTCATGTATATTTGCCAAAAAAAAAAAAAAGACAACAGGTTTTACAACAGGCTGGGTGTGTTGCAGGATCCTCCAAAGGCACTGTGTGCTCCCCACAACTTCATTCTCTAAAGGTGGTGTTTGAGATGATTTTCTTTAGGTGGGACAAGAGATATTTCTGGTTGTACCTAACACAGCACCAGTCCATCCAATGAGAAAGTGACTTCCCCATCAATCCTTCTGATTACCTAAGAAGCAAGGCTCAGCTTGAGGATTATTTACTTTTCAAACCTCTAATCCTTGCTAATCATATTTTTAAACAAAGGCAATACTCTCCAGCTTGAATTTAACAAGTTATTTCCATAATATGATTACTCTTTCTCTCTGTGGCAAAGTGTCCTGACTTTCATTTAGGGCGGTAATATCAAACATCTTTCAAAATTGATATATTGAAGTTTTTAAAAAAATAAGTAGATTTTAAAGAAACTAATGCATACTAATTGTCACAGCAGTCTCTAATGATAGGCAGAAAAGGCAAAAACTGAAGGCAAGTTTGCAAATGGTTACGTTTTAGTGGAAATTGTACCCAGCAACCAAATGGAAACAGTCACATTTTCAGCTTTCAAATAGTTTCTGGTGCAGAAACCACAGGTCCACAGATTTCTCTCATGGAATGCCTTTTTTTTTTTTTTTTTAGAATTAGATAAGAGAGATTGATTATGACCAATAAACTATGTACCAAACCTTATTTCTAGTCTGTGGTGTTGGGGAAGGGGTAGTAAGCTGAATGCAGCTGTAGAACAAAACGTCAAAGGAAAAAGCCAGAGCAATATTTTAAGTGGTGCAAAGGGCTGTCTACTGACTGCCAATCGCATTTACAGCTTTAAAACTTGGAACCAAACCAAAGGAGGGTAAAGCAAGGCTTCCATCATTTGGACACGCCATCAAAATCAGCTAGCAGTTGTTAAACAGTACTTGGCATTAAAGTGTTTGGAGGGGGAAAAAAATGTTTACTTCCCCGTCTGCTCTTGGCAATTTAAGCAAAGTTGGACTTTATTTACAAGTCAGGATAATTTGTAAGTGTCCAGAAATAAATCACTAGCTATTTACAAAGCTAAGGAAGATACAGGAAAAAGCAATGATGGTTTCTGGAGAATTAAATTAACAACATTAAATACTTTTCCCAAACAAGGGAATAATGGACAATTTAAAAGAGTATATCCAGGCTTAAGAAATCTAGACATAAGGCAATTAGTCTCAATTTTCCATCTCCAAATTTGACCTTTCTCTCCAGCCACCACACATTAGCTATTTGCCAAAATGAAGAAAGACCCTCCTTCTGGCAAGTGTGGTTATGGCTCTCAGGGAGGAAGAAAACCATGCTAACATACTCTGGACCCAAGAGGAAGATGTGATTGGATTAGTTTGATTATGAAAGCAAGGGGCTTACGTGGGCCGAGACGTCATTCTGGTGGAAAGCCTTCCGCAAAGACTGCGTGAGCCCTTTGGCTATACTGAGCTTCAAGGATTCACTGAACTGTACTCTCCTTTGGGTCAGAAAGAGAACTGTGGGGCAAAACAAAAGCAGGTCATCAGGGTAAGGTGCACACCTAGTCAACCAGCCCTCCTCACCTCCCCAGACCCCACCTCCTGCACGTTCTGAGCAAAGCTGCTGAGCACAGGTCTAACACGGAGAGGGGTGGGCTGCCCACGGAGGGTAGCGGTTCCGCTGGGCCCACTCAGGTCCGAAGGAGAAGCGGCCCCAGTCATCTATGTGGCTCCAGTGGAAAGGGAGCGGGTGTGTGAGTGGCACATCCATGGTCAGGCGATCAGTGCTGCCTCTGACCTTGACAGTCTGGCTCAGCAGTGCCTGCTCCATGGATCTGCCTGCAAGGACACTCCAGCAGCAGCATTCTGTGAGAGCCCGCTTAAATGCAGGCCCTAAGCTAGGTGCGCTGACCTCGCCAGTACAACCACCCCAAAGCAGGAAGGTGCCACCCTCACATCCCACACAGAGGGACGATGATAGGGATAGATGCCTGTGATGGAGAGGAGATGACTGCATGTGACAGGTGCTATTTGAGGGGAAGCCTAGGATGCTGGAGGCCCTAGGAAGGCAAGGGGTTGGGGATGAGAGATGGTTTCCTCAAAGAACTGATGCCTCTGCTGAGTCCTGAGGGACAGTGGGAATGATCTAGGACAAGGAAGGGGAGACATCCCCCCATTTCCAACAGAGAGAAGACCACGTGCAAAGGGACGGGGAGAGAAGTGAAGTATTTCAGGGTACATAGGTTTGGCCCCAAGGCAATGGGAAATGAAGGTTTTAAGCAAAGGTTTGCATTTTAGAAGGTTCCCTTGACTGAACAGATTGGGGGAGGGAGGGGTGGTTCCTAAAGGCAAAGAGATAAATTTGATTGTTGTTGCAGAAATTTAAGTGAGCAATGATGACAGTGAACTAAGGAAGTGGCAGTGGGGTGGAGAGCGGGAGGCAGAACTGAAAGGACTTGGTGATTGACTGGGTGTGGCTGGGGTGAAGGGGATTATGAAGGAGAATGTTCCAGATTTCTGCATCTAGGTAACTAGGGTTGCCTGTCACTCAGAGGAGGAGGCATAGATCTGGAAAGAGAGGGGGAAGGGAGTGAAAAACCAGATGGTATAATTTCTTGAGAAATAGAAAGAGACATTATACTTTCTGCTAGGCCTAGTTTCACAATTTCCCATTTTAGAAGAGGGTATGTCTCAAGATATGATTTCATTTAATTCTTTGTGGGGTGAGAGGAAGGCGGGATACGAGCATTCAACATTGGCAAGCTCTTTCAAATAACAAGCCTAATGCTTTTTATAGCAAACACTACCGCACTATTAAAAGCACCCAATGTCTTCAAGGCCTGCTTTGCTGCAACGGGGAGGTAGAGGCTGGAGAGCTATCATCTTCAGACAGAGAAAGACAAATACCATGTGATCTCATGCAGGTAGAATCTTAAAAAACAAACCAAAAACTAAACTTATATGTAGAGAGAATATGTTGGTGGCTGCCAGAGGAGAGAAGCAGGTGAAGGTTGTTAATAGGTACAAACTTTCAGTTATAAAATAACTAAGTTCTGGGGACAGAAGGCACAGCATGGTGACCTTTGCTAACAATCTGATATTGTATATTTGAAAGTTACTAAGAGAGTAGATCTTAAAAGTTCTCATCACCAGAAAAAAACTTAAGTATGCATAGTGCTGGGTGTGAAGTGGTCTTACTGCAGTGACCACTTCACAGTATACACAACCATCAATCATTATGTCATACACCTGAATCTAATATAATGTTGTACATCAGCTATTCTTCAGTTTAAAAAAAAAAAAAAACCAGAAACAATACCCATTGGGCAACAACTCCTCTTTATGTAACTAATGAGCATTTTGTGGGGATGTGCTTTAAAACCATGCAAACTCTCTGTTGTCCTAAACCAACCAACCAATAAAGTCAGTGAATATTTAAATCTAAAAAAAAAAAAAATTGCATCCATCACCCAACTTTTCCAAAGTCCCACTTTTAATACCAAAAGATGTTAAAAGTGTCCTGCTGTTGTCCTTTCAGTATCTGCTGATTGAGAAAATACAGCATTTCTGGATTCCATAGCATTCCAAGATTCTGTATCTTACTAATCATCATTCATTCATGTGAGACACCACTGATTTGCTCTACCAGAAAAATGTGGTGCACATTTGCTTTCTCAGCTTCCTGGCAATGCTGGTTCCCCAGGGGCCTCTGACATGGGGATGAACTCCAGAACTAAAATCACTGCAGGTGACACTTGTCCGCTCTGACACCCGAGGGCAGAAGCTCTGACTTCAGCACTGCTGACATTGTGGGTTGGGTTAGTCTTTGTTGTCAGACTGTGTATTGCCGGACCTTTAGCAGTCACCCTGGTCTCTGTCCTGCTAGATGCCAGCAGCACCACCCTCCCCCCTAAGCTGTAGATACCAAAAATGTCTCCAGAATGTCCAAAAGTCTTTGTGGGGAGCAAAGTGATCCCACATTGAGAACCATTGATCTCAAAGCTGATTGTGGTACATCTCTGAGACCTGGATGTGCTTGCTGCCTTCAAGTAAAATCAACATGGCAGGCCCTTACCTGTCTTCACCAGGAGCTTAGTGGACATCTGACACTCCAGGCTGGACGCCATCTTGCCAGTTGTGACCACTGCAGTTGACACAGCAGGAAGAGCAGCATCTGTGTTTTCTGCCAGCACAGGGGGCAACCGGGTGGCCCTTACTGGTGCAGTGATGGAGGTCAAGGCTGCTGTGATTGTCAGTGGGCGTGTGGTGGACACCCTGGGCATGTCTGGGTTGGTGGGGTTTGGGAGGCCTGGGTGCATGGCTTGTGGCTTCCTGGGGAGGTGTGTTGTGGACAACAGGCCAGAGGCAGTGCCCGTGTTCCCTTGCATGGCTGTATGGGCGCTCACGGTGTGTGATGTTCTTGCAAACATGTAGGTTGGCGTGAACGAGAAGGCTGTGTGGACTGCCCCTGGGGTCACCTTTGGGCCAGATGCTGCACTGTTTGTGACATTTTTAGCTGGAGCAGTACTCTTGACTAATCCTGAGGCCGCGGCCAAAGGACTACCACCAGTACCCTTAGCCACTAGGGCTGCTGACAGCGCCGGCAGGCTTGATTTCTTCAGAAACAGTGTGGCTGCTGCTGCTGTTGGTTCTCCCTTGGATGACACTGAGGAGTCCACTGTAGAAAGAGGAAAAATGCAAAGTTTGTCATTGACCCAGAACACACACACATCACTTGTGGTGATGAATAGATGTAACTTATGGGTTTGCTGGGTTAAAAAACATCTCTGCTCTAGAATTTAGGCAAACCAGCTTTAGGTTCATTAAGTCAATTAACCATAACATGATTACCATTTAGAGCAAAGCGAGAGCTAGTAATAAGGACACTTAAATTCTGAACACTTTCAAAAAATCAAATTGGCAGAGGATCAGGGACATGACTGTTTGGGGTTGCTAAATCATTCATCATCCTGAAAGGGTGTGCCTGCACCTTCTGAGCAAAGCTGGGAGTCTGTGTTGAGCTTGAAGATGCTTTAACCACAGAAGTAGTCACACCTCTTTTTGGGGAATCAGGAAACAAGCTACCTGCATTAGTGGCTGCACCTGTCCATTTCTTGGGGCGCTGAGAAGCCAGGGGCACTTTGAATAAGGCAGTGGTTGAGAGAGGTGGAGGTTCAGCAGTAAAGTGATATTTCAGAACGCTCTGGAATCTTGTAGAAGCATTCCTCGCAGGAGACGGATAGGTGTCGCTGGAAATTGGGAAGCCTGTATCCTTTCCATCCGCAAACATTTCCTGCATGCTAGCGGTGGAAGTTAGACTTGGAGAGGCTGGCGAAAGTGGATGTGTTGGAGAAGGATAAGACATGGAAGACTGACTTGTGGAAGGGTAATCTTCAACCTCAGCTGCTTGGAAGTCCCTGGAATGATTGTTGCTGCTTACAGACGAGAGGTCTGTACGGTTTCCAACTATGGTAGCGACTGACTGTTGGATGGGCTGTTGGATGCTTGTACCAAGGACTGGATTTGGAATGCTAAAGCCTTCTGCAGTTGCTAAATGTCCAGCAGTATCTTTTAAATTCTGAGCTTTTATTGTCCTGACAGCTGAAGTTAAATCAGGGGGAGGAGTAGTTGAAACTGAATGAGTTTCCCAACTTGTGGAGTTAATTGTGTCCCCATTTACATCATAATTTGTTTGCTGCAGCAAGCCAGTTATCACTGGTTCTGTGGAAAGGGATCCAGTTTCTGCTAAAAGAGAACTCCAGGAAACATCTGTGATGTCTGGCTTTATCATGTGTTCCATTGTTGAGAAATCATAGACCTCAGTGGAGGAGGGAAAGGCTGTCACCTGTTTGGAAGCTGAAATCGGCAACTCAGAAGGGTCCAGTGCAGCTGCAGAAGTCTCTGACTTGGTGCTGGAAAAGGGAGGAGACTGGGAAACAGTCTGGGGGGTTCCTCCAGAGGAGAAGGAAGTCACAGGCAATGCTGAAGGGGGGAGGGCCATCCTTGGTGTTGTAGTGACAGTTGGTGAAAAGCGTCCTGTGCTGAATTCAGAGGCAAATTCATTTATGGTGAGAAGACTGGGGATCTCTTTTTTCGGAAGGGTCTGGAGAGTGACGATCACCTCTGTCTTTTCACTTTCCTTTGAAACAGCTGTCACATCATCCTCTTTCTGCAGGGGAAATGTCCAGGCTGTGGAGCGAAGGTTAGGTTTGCGTGAGAGGAGGAAGTCTGGTGCTGCAGTCAGAGGGGGTCTATCATTGTCCTCTTCTTGAGGAGTTGACATTGGGGAGTCAGGGGGTGGAGAGACATGACTCTCTGTCGACCAGAAGGAAGGCAGGGTGGAGGGCAAGTCTGCTGCCATGCCATTCGATGGTGATCCAGGAACCACCCCAGAAAGGATGGTTTGCCCCCGGCTAGCTGTAGTGAGAGGCAGAGAAGAAGGCACCAAAGAAGTGTGCTCTGTTGAAAGGGCAGGCCCTTCGGAATTCTCTGGAGCTGCTGACAAATGCAGTGGGTTAGCAGAGTCATCTGTAGTAGTAGGAGCTAGCTTTCTGCTGGTCATTTCTACTGCCACTGATTCTGCAGGCTGGAAAAGAGAAGGCTCAGCCTCATGGGTCTCTGCTACCATGCTCTTAAAAGCCGGCAAAGACACCCCATGATGCACTCTTTCAGCCACCTCAGCTTCCACTGGCTGGGTGGATGCAGGACTTGAAGTCACTTCCAACAATGGCCTTGAGGGAGTTCCACCTGGAAGCTGAAGAAGACTTCCAGGTGCTAAGTGAGGGGGAGACATGTGGGCCAGGTCTCTTTGTGTCCCAGATCGCAAAGCCTTGGGTTTGGGGGAGCCTGCTGAATGAGCGTCCTCTGGGGAGGAGAGCTCAGAAAACTGTTTTGTGGAGGATCCAGAAAAGCCTAGATGAGGGGTGCCGATTAAACCCCGGGCTCTGGGGGCTGGAGTGTGGTTCACTGCATCAGCAAATGGGTGCAGGGGATTAGCTACACTCTGGCTTGAGATGTCCACTGGAGCTGTTTGGGGGAACAAGGGCTCTTGGGTGGGTGGTTCTGCTGGTTTAAAAAAGATGATGGAATGATGTGATGAGTCAGGAGTCAATGAAGAGGATGAAGATGGGGGGAGAAACAGGAGAACGTCTGACTTCAGGGAATGTTGTTTGGAAATGAAAGGCGCCCCTACCCTTAGTGGCTGGGATACAAGGACTGCTCTCAAGGATGTCACAGAAAGGAGAGTGGACAAGGGAGGGATCATGCTGGTGTGAGGCAAACCTGACGCAGCAGCTGCTTCTTCTGCCCCTTGAATTCTTGGTGGGACCAGGGATTCGGTGGAATCCTTAGAAGGCTCAAGGGAGGTGCTATGGCCACTTCCTTGGGAAGGTGGGGGAGGGAAGTCCCCGTGGGCCCTAGCTCTGCGGTGCGCCTTGGGAGGCAGTGTCCGGGCCACCTGCAGCAAGCTCGTGTTGTCAGGGGTAGGGCCCAGCACAGTCCCAACTCTGCCCGCTGCGGAAGACTGGACTTCAGAGAAAGGCCATGTTGGTGAAATCGGCAACAATTTCCCACGAGGAAAGGACTCTGGGGTGGGGGTGACAGTTATCTGTAGATTGTCTGTTCCTGTGAAACAAAATAGCAAGTTGTCAGGCACCGGGTAATCATTACCTATCTTCTGCAGTGGACCTGGAGAGAGGGGTGGGCAAGACAGGGCACTGTCCGGCCCTGCAAGCTCCCCTGCATCTAGAAAACTACCAAACACACCAAAGCAATGAATGACTGTGTGTGCTTCAGCAAGGCAGGGCCAGTGAGACATTGTGATGTCTGCACAAAGATGTGGAAGATACTTGGGGATTTTACAATTTTTTTTCTCTGCTACCTATAAGGGCTGGACCATGAGACTCACAACCAAGATAACCAAAGATGAATGTGGCTGCCTGGCACGCCCATGACAACAATATAAACTCATCCCCCCAAAGGCAAAACAAAAGGACTGTGTATCTGAATGCAAATCTTTTTTACTTTAGTACCCAAAAGTACATTCAAGCAGAACTTCCAGGTTGCCTGTGTTTGGAAAGATGGTGCCAGTAAGACCTTTATCTTGTCGGATTTAAAAGGATTCTTGACGCTATCATTCACACTATGTCAGATAGCAAAGGGGATTTCTTTCAGATTAGGCTATTTCTGGAAGACAAAATTGTTCGCATCCAACCTAGGACTAGAGAGACACCTCTCACAAGCCTCAGTGCCACTACGAGCACCTGCAGAGATGCCAGAAAGGTGAGCGCTAATGTGTGAACCTGCAGGCAGAAAGGCAAAGAGAGGAGGCAAAAATGGTGATGCCCACAGGAAAGGGGGGAGCATGACCACTGGCCAGAAAGCTGGCAAGGTCAGGCTTGGGAAAAGAAGCCCTGCTTGAAGATTCTCTGGTCCCCCTTTCCAGGGTTCTGTGGTGTTGATGCTGCTGACAACCCCAGAGGTGGCTAAGTGTCCTTAAACAATATTTTGAGGGCCTCCCCTGGTGGCGCAGCAGTTGAGCGCTGGGCTGTGAAGCTGCCTGCAGCCTCTGCAGCACCGGTTCGAACCCCGGCCACCAGCAAGGGTCCCACATGGCGTGCAGACCTCTCCTGCCATGCCCGCTGCTCCCCTCAGCAGTGTATTTCATCAGTCTGCCTGTTCTACTCCCCACTCTGGTGAATTCTCTCACCCTCCCGCACTTCTGACTGTACCCAGTGCTTGTATGTATAAATAAATGTCTTTAAAAAAAATACAGCTTAAAAAAAACAGTATTTTGAAAATAAGACAAAAAGGCACTTCCAGAATGTTCTATATTATTAGCTAAAAATGTCAGAACCATCAGGAGCTAATTTGTCTTTCAGAACAACAATTCTTTTTTTTTTTTTTAAGATTTATTTTTATTTATTAATATAAGCACTGGGTACAGTCAGAAGCACGGGAGGGCAAGAGAATTCACCAGAGCCAGAGCGGGGAGCAGAGCAGGCAGAAGGACCGAAGTACACTGCTGAGGGGAGCAGCAGGAGGCAGGAGAGGTCTGTGCGCCATGTGGGACCCTCCTCTGGTGGCCGAGGAGCAGCCGGGGATCGAACCAGAGCTGCAGAGGCTGCAGGCAGCTTCGCAACCCAGCGCTCAACCGCTGTGCCACCGGGGAGGCCCCCAGAACAACAATTCTTACTGTGGAATGAAGGACAGACAGCAAAGAGGTAAGAGTGGATGACAGGACACCATTAAGGAAAATGCCTATTGTGGTCTAGGCATAGGAGGACAGGCAAGTTGTAAAGAGGAGTTGACCCAAGGTAAGAAATCAAAATAGATCATCCTTTACGGTCCCTTTCAATTTTCAGAGTTCAGGCTAATGCATTGCTTTGAGTATGTTTGTGTTTGTATAGGTGGTGGGTTGTTTGGCCTTTTTTTTTTTAATGACTGCAAATTCTCCTACATGTTTCTCCCATTGACAGTTGGGAGTCTAGACCCTCCCTCCCCTTGAATCTGAGTGGACTTAAGACTCTTTAACCAATTCAAGCATGGCAGAAACACTGCCAGTGCACCTCCAAGGCTACCACCATAAAAGACCAGGCAGCTTTTGTGTGGTCTCTTGGAATCCTTGTCCTCCATGTGCCCCCTACCTGAGCAGCCCAGGTCATGTGTGTGAATACTCCAGTCAGCCTTCTCTGCTGAGTCTCTCTTCCCAGTCATCTCAGCCCAGGCACCAGAAATGTAACTGAAGAAGCCTCCAGAGGATTCTAGCCCCCAACCATTCAAATCACTCAGCTTTCTGAGTCTTCCCTTGGGAAACTGCAGGCGTCAAGAAGCAGACAAGTCATCCCCCACTCAGCTCTGTCTGAATTCCTGAAACCATGAGTGTAATAAAATTATTGTTATTTCACAACACTAAGCTGGGGGTTTTGCTGCACTAAGCTGTGCAGCAATAATGACTGAAACAGCATAGGGTTCTGTCAGTCTCATTGGGGTTGAGATTAATTCAATTTTCAAAAGGATTCCGAAGCCAATCATCATTTAAGAGTCCTTCAATTCAATGAAATACATGTGTGCTTTATACACAAGAATTATGTCTATGCTAATAAATTATGTCTATACACAAGAATTATGTCTATGCTAATAAATAAAATATATCTGTATCCACTAGAATTGCAACATGGAAGGCATAATAAGGAAAGAAAAAATTTGAGGGGGAGTGAGAGGTAGATGGTATTAGGATGGGGGAAAATTCTGAGACTATGTATAGGGAAAGATTCTAATTAGACTCACTATGGTGATCAATTTGCAAAATATACACATACAGAATCATTATGTTGTTCACCTGAAATGAGTATAATGCATGTCAAGTATATCTTGAAAAAAATTTTAAAAATGGAATGAACAAAACCAAATTAAAGGGAGCTTAAAATACACTCAAAAGAAAGCAGTTAAGTAGAAATTTGATGTAGGTAGTATGTTGGACTGACTCCAAGGCAGTCCCATGATTCCTGTTTCTTGGTGGTCATATCTTTAAGTGACCCCTCTCCTTGAGAAAAAGCAGCAAATGCTTCTAGAAAATAGAAGGTAGCAGAGGGCACTCTTGTGATTTATCTTGTAATAGCCTCTATCTTGATGGCAGATTGCTCTCTCTAATGGCCAGATGAATTAAGAGGCCATATTGGCAAACAGCAGTGGGTGGCCTCTGGAAGTGACAGGTAGTCTCTAGGAACTCTAGCTGGCCTCTGAGCATAGCCTCCAGCTGACTGACAGCCAGCAAGAAGCCAGGACCTTCAATACAGCAACCACCAGCAAACAAATTCTGCCAACAACCTGAGTGAACTTGGAAGTAGATTCATCCCAGCCAAGACACCAGATGAGAACACAGCCCACTGATACCTCAATCCCCTCCTTAGGAGATCTTGCGCAGAGGACTTAGATAAGCTATGCCCAACCTATTGACCCATGGTAACTGGAAGATAATAAATGTGTTGTTTAAGGCCACAAAGTTTGTGGCAATTTGTGACAAGCAATAAAAAACTAATACAGGTAGGAAGTAAGGAGCTATGGAGGATGAAACAGGGGTGTAGAACAAAGAGATGTAGCCTCAGTAACATGGAGTAAGATGATCACAGGGTAGGACAAAGGATGGTGAGAAGGTGCAATTAAGACAGTAAAAGAGAAATCCATGTAAATATGCTTATTTGGAATATAACAGAACAAGATATGAAATAAACATTCTAACAATGTAGGGGCATGGGCAAATCAGATTAAAGGGGTCAACTGTATGGTAAAGGATTTAATTGCACATTTAGTGGTAAATATATCATTGTACATAGACTGATCTATAATGATGTACACCTGAACTTATGTATTATAATACAATGCTATTTCAAAAAAAAAAATCCAACATAGTACCTGGGACTTGGAGCAAGTTATTTAAAGAGAACACAGGGCTTTGTAAGAATAGGAACAAAGCTGCCACAGCAAATAGCAGCAGACATATTAGAATGCTGCTATCAAACATGCACACTTCTGTTTCAGTTCCATTTTTTAAGGAAAAAACACCATTCTAGTTAGACATTGAATTCTTGCTTTTCACAGTGACTGGTCGTTGACTCCACACACACACCACACCCAGACACCCATAACTTTCTTCTGTTTAGAATGACTTGGGTCCCTCTTTGTTGACAAATATGGCAATATTCTTCCAAAAATGCACAGCAAGCAGATAAGTCCCACACACCAGAGAGGAGATAGAAAGAGTGCTGGTTTCCTACATGAATCCCAGGCTGGCTCCCCTTTCTGAACATTTGTAAGCACCAGTTATTTCAGGGGTAAGCCAACAATTACCTTCTTTTTGGACAGTGTTTCTCACAAAGGGACTGATAACCTAAAGAATTTCAAAGGGGAGTTGCTTAAGTGGTAAGAGATTTGAGAAGACCCTGGAGAATGAAACATGGGGAGAAGAAATGGATTTAGGTGGGAAATGAATGGAAGCAAATGACAATTCTCAAAATAACAGAGAAAAAAGTTAAAATGAGTCATCTTTCCCTTCTCAAGGAAACAAGAATGAATAGTCCTACAAAACCTACTTAACAGTTTCTTACACACGCGAACATTTTAAATGAAGTTATCAGAGTCTTGGTTTAAATAAAAACATGATTCTCAGAGCTTCAGGAAAGGATAGTCATTCTTGTAAGGATATCAGACGTAATACAGTGGGCTGGCATATACACAAAGGTGAAGAATCACATGCTTTCGATCTTAGCAGGTTCGCAGAGTCCCGTGAAAGCTAACATTAACCTCAAACTAAAAGAGATGGGAAGCAATCCATTCAAATCGTGAGACATATAAAGAGTGAAGACAGCTCGGCCAGGATAGGATACACAGAGTCTGTCATTGACTAATGCCAAAAACAATGAGAACCACCCCCAAGTCTCCCCAGACCTCAGCGGCTCAGGTGATGATACCAAGGTGCAAAATGAAGGCCTGTTACGACTCCTGTCTTGCTGAAGCTCTTCATGTTGTTGATGTAACATTCCAGTACTTGCACGTAAGACTGGGGCTGTGACGTTGCTACACTCAAGTTATCTTGGCCAACTTGAACCCTAAAGAAGCCCACATCA